TATGTATGCATTTAAAATATTTTTATCCCATCCTATACAACAGTTGTCTCAGAACTGCTTAAAGTATAATATAAATAAACAATAAATACAACAATCAATGAGTATAATAACAAGAGAAGGTATGACTGAGGATAATATTAATAAAACCAGATTAAAATTATTTAAACTTTAAAATATTGGGTAAATAAAAAGGTTTTTACCTGGTGCCGGAAAAGCATATAAAGTTGGCGCCAGGCAAACCACTTTGGGGGGTGCATTCCACAGTTGGGGTGCCACCGCAGAGAAGGCCCTCCTCTGGGTGTTCACTGTCCTAACCTCCTTCAAGGAGGGTTCCTGGAGTAGGGCCTCTTCTGCAGATCTTAGGGGGTGGGGGGCATATAGGGAAAAAGATATTCCTTCAGGTATTTTTCATTTGTGGTGTTTGTCTTCCCTCACACTCCAGCAAACACCAGCAACAATTCTAGGCATAGGAACTGAGCAAAATGGTGGCCACCCTGCCTACACAATTGTTGCTACTCTGCTCCTAGAAAATCCCAAAGGGGAAAGGAAGCCATGGCAATGGGATTACTGGTGAGTCCCACCCTTGAGAAAATATTATCTTCACCCTGGTGAAATTTGCTGATGTTGCACCCTCCCCATTTCTCTGCTTACAAATAGGGTGGAAAACTTTGAGAGTCCTTTTGCACAGAGCTTTATGGCTTTGTGGCTTTAGGCCTTTGGGCTTTATGTAGGGAGAGAAATAAGACATCACAGATCCCACAAGTAGTAAAGCAAGCCATCATGTAATGTTAGCATGGTTTCATGAAAAGTCACTACCCAAATCCCCCCTTCTTTTCCCAGATGATTACCCCATATTTATGCGTAAAGAGGCATCCTTCTTGGGACAAGTAGAAGAACTGGAAATTCAGCAGCTTCTGATGGTGGACAGAACTCTCTATGTCGGTGCCAAGTCAGTTGACAGTCCTAGACTCCCTTTTTGCTCTCCTTTACAGTCCCTCTAAGTTGGCATTGTCTGATGTTCATTGCTTTCCTTTAGGCACCTTCCATACTTCAAAAGCAAGCATATCCTATGGGAGGAGCAAAGGGACATGACATTTCTCAGAGCTGTGAATTGCTCTGTCATAAGGGACAATTGCAACTGCTTTCGCACCAATCACACACACATACACACATATTTCCAAGCCCAAGTCAGGGCTGATCAACACACATTACTCCAGTTCTCCATCAGCTTCACTGGCTCCCCATTGAAGTCCTGGCCCAATTCAAGGTGTTGGTGATGACCTATAAAGCCCTTAATGGCTTGGGTTCTGGTTACCTGAAGGAGTGCTTACGTCCATATATGCCCGCCCGCCCCTTGAGATCAGCGGGAGAGGCCCTTCTCTGGGAACCTTCCATGAAGGCTATTAGGAGGGTAAGTACTTAGAGGAGGGCTTTCTCTGTGGTGGCGCCCAATCTATGGAATGCACTCCCCAGAGAGGTCCGCCTGGTGCTGTCGTTATTTGTTTTTTGGCGCCAGGGGAAGACCTTTTTATTCAAATGTTATGTTTATTGTTAATAGTATTTATTTATTTATTTTATTCTTGGCCAGGTCGACTCAAATTGTATTGTTTTTATATTGTGTTTATTTATTTATTATTGTGAGCTGCCCCAAGCCTTTGGCAAATGGGGGGGGCATAGAAGCCTCCTAAATAAATAACCTCCCCACAGGATCCACGTTGTAACTGTTTGCCCTGCAGAGATTCCCAGCCTGCTTCTCACTCCAATGGCAAGGCTAGTTTGTTTGCTTGCTGTTTTTTGTTTGTTGCTTTCCTGTGCCACCCCATAGCCCAAGGTCTCTCTGAGCAGCTCACATAGCACATAGTTTCACAATGAGCTTCAGTAGGTGTGAGTTCTGGGGACACAAAGCTCTTTTCCATGGTGATTCTCCTTTTATCATTTTCACTTTCTCCCATCTTGAGTTAAACACAAGACAAAAGCACCCCCCCACCAAGTCTTTCTCTTCCAAATATGAAGAATTTTGTAACTGTTGGCAAATTATTAGCAAAAGCTAACTGAATTGAAATTCTCTCCAGTCTGCATGGGCCAGATTCAGTAATGCAAGTATTCTCAGCATGGGCAGGACCTTGATGTACCCAGATGTTGTTCTGTTGGGTTCAATTTGGTTCACATCTGCTCATGAAAGCATAGAAGCTTCTGCATGCACAAAGCTCTGCATGTGCATTGCAACTCTGCTATGAAGCCCCTGGATACACCCCCCCCACACACACATATACCCTCCAGTTTGTCTAGACATTTGTAAAAGCTGGAAAGAAAGCAATGCCTAGTCCAGAATGAAAGGGAAATTTGCAATGCACATCCAGAAGTGAAGGAGACAATGGAACAGGAGGAAGATTAGCTTTTTTCCCACCAGGGGACATAAATTTGCCAAAAGTTCTTGAGCATGGTGTGTTTACCTTTCTGTGGCAGCAGCAATAAAAGCAGAACTTTACTTTGTTCTATTCAAAAGATCTTGTGACCGACATGCCCTGTTTCTCTGTTTTCAAATTCTAATATAACTCCTCCACTGACCACTTATTCTCCTTTCCCCAACGGGGTGTCCCTTGTCCTGTCATTTGGTTACCATACAGAATCTTTGCAAGACACTTGGCGGGGGGTGCTCTGCTGTTGCTGCCACCACAGCCAGAGGAAAACACCTGCTGAAAGAAAACAAAGAAACTTGCAGGTTGTGTCCTGTGAATATTGCTTGGATGTTGTGAAGGTCAGCCTGCAAAAACCTGACTGAGCTTTTCCACCATCGCTTTTCACTTTGATCAAGAGGGACTGCAAGAGCTGTACACCCTCCAGCTACTTCCCCAGTCACTCCCAATTGAATTTATCCCATTTCCTTTGGACTTCCAGCTTCCTTTGGACTTCCTCTTCATCAGGATGTGTGGAATGGAAATGCCAATCTGGCATGTAGGGGGAAATCCTTTCATAATCGAAAGCAAGGATGCAGTAGTTAACTCTGAAGTGTAGGCACTCCTCATGGCCATCCCAAAAGCCAAACCACCAAGCAGAGTTCAGAATTGCAAGCTGCTAATCCTTATCAGCAAACCAGTCCTAGGAGATTCCATCTGCTAGGGAAGAACTTTTCTGAATTTATGCATCCTAATTGTCCTTTCAAGGTCAAGCCACTCAGAATACTTCACATTACAAGAAGCAATATATTGTTGCTGGGAAAATTCACCCTCCTGTACCAGCTACAATCTTTATATGGGGTTTGCACCTAATTTCAGAGGGAACAAGGGATGCATGATGTAGGGAGAGACAGAGGGATTGCAGATTAATTTAGGATCCCTGCTAATAAAAGTGTCAGTAACACAGTCCTGCACTGTAGGTCACAATTTCAGAAGCTGTATTAGATTAGGATGGAGGAGTAAATGAACAAAGCAGTTTCTTCTCCATTGTAACCTATGCACACTTGGACAGGAAAACAATTCTACAGTTTGACTGGCATTGGAGTCTTTGGAACCTGAATTAGAATTTGAAGAATCTCAGTCAGGAAGTTCAGCAGATAACAACTTATCACAAAAATAATCTTCATGTTTAACTCTGTGGAATCTGAATCCTCTTTTCATGTATAACTATGCAGGGTTCAGCACAGGTTTCATAGAAATAATCACCATTTTTAATCCTGTACACTCAGGGAAGAGGTTTGACATGGAAAGACACAGGATGGCCTTGTTGGCAATTCCTACAGGTTTTGGACAGGAGCTGTTCCACACACACACACACACACACACACACACACTAGAAGTAAATGATGAGGACTGGAGACATTTTCAATCTCCTCTTGGTAGGTAAGGCATTCCAGTGTATTAATCAATAACATTTGAAACTTTACAAACCAAACATTCTCCAAAGATAATTTTTAGCTCAACAATAGGAACACTTCCTACCTTTCTTGGATATCAACCTTTTCCTGCCTGCTCTACCACCAATCACTATGGTCACAGATAACTTGCCTAACACAAAATTCATTGGATTACACTTGGTACTTATGTTTCTTTTGTTTATAGGGAGCATGTTTATGTTATTGACCTGGACAAATCATATGAAGGTACAATTCAGCTAAATGATGTAAGTAGTGTTCAGTTACTTGTGAGCTAAAAACAGTGGAAAAAGTAGAAACAATGTTTTGAAAGTTCTCCTGTCCAACTAGCAGCTGCTGTTCCACCCCCACCACATTCCTTGAATTCTCTTTGAGAAATGTTACATGATAACATAAGACAGTCTACGATTTTTCCCAGTTCTAAAACATCAAAGGGAAGAGGAAGGGGATCCTAGCAAAAGCCTGCTCTAATTTTGCAGAAGGCTCTGGCACAGCCAGCCAGAAAGGCAACCTATGATACCCTTTCCCTTCTAAAATCTTCAGGAATATAACAGACACTTCTGCCAGAAATAGTGGCTCCACAGTTCATTAAAAACATAATTTATCCCAACAGTGACAAATTAGAAGATGCAGGAAAACTTTACAAATGTGTGCCTTTTTCTTAATGTTGGCCAGATATTCAATTCACTTTCTTTTCAGACTTTATACAGTAGGAGATACATTTCTGCAGATATGCTTTAGAAATAGTCAAACTGTCCAGTTCATTTTTAATCAGTTCGTTGGCTTTCCACACTTGCAACATGGCTTTGCATTCATTCAGCTTCCATATTTGCCTTTGCTCCTGCCATTGCCTACACGGGTCCCCTATAAAATGTGTCTTGGAGGAGGAAATCCAGGTATGTGCCGATCTCTGGCAAAGCATCTTCTCTCACTAGAAACAGATTTGGTCTGAGATTGAATCTCCAAAGTAGCAAGAGATGGGATATCCTGCATGCTAGCAAGTCACAAATTAAATATTTCCATAAGTTTCTGTTCAGGCATAGTTTGCTCCCAGGCATGTTTGTTTCTCGAACTAACCCTATAAAACATTTTAACTGAATTTCTTTCTGGATCCTTACAGGGCATAACGTGGCAAAGCAATCAGGATGCTAAAGAGAACTGCAGGATGCATGGAGAAAATAAGGTAGGGAATTCTACTTTCTCATGCAGCAGTATTCTTACTGTGTTTAAATGTCCTGTTTGTTGTTGCTGTCGCAAGTTCATAATGTTATACATTGTTCTATACTCCCTTGATAAGTTTTTAGTAGAAAATGTGGTACATGAATTACAGATCAATTGATCAATAGATAGATGACATTGTGTTTTATTTTACATTTTGCATTGTTAAACTGTCATGAGACTTCAGTAATGGGATGGTCTAAATAAATAAATGATTGAATGCAATTAATAGGACTGATAGAATGATTGAATGAAATTAATAGGACTGGGGACTGTAAATTGTATTGGCAGTGTTTAATGCACATTTAATCAGTGCATGAAATACAATGTGTGTTCTCAGTTCCAAGCAGCCTGTATGCCTTAACACAGCAGCCAGACAGAAACTTGGATCAACCAATGCTGTTGCTCTGAAAAATTACCAAAATAAAGTTTAGAGTAGATGGTCTATGGAAACCAGTTTTGTTACAGTCCTGGTAATGAATTCTGCTTCTGTAGCTGGTGTACAAGTGTTTGATTTGCTAAACCTGGCATTTATTGGCTTTTTTCTTTAGGAGGAGTGTTATAACTTTATTAAGGTTCTCCTGAAAAGAAATGATGAAACATTGTTTGTTTGTGGCACAAATGCCGTTACACCCTTCTGCAGGAACTATAAGGTATGCATTGACTTTCTAATAATGCATGTATCCTTAAGAGTTTTTGTTATACATGTAACTAAAAAGCACCAATATCAGTCAACAAAACCCCATTCATGTAATGAGAAATCAGAATCATATTATCAGAAATAGAATATTAATGTTAAAGTAGCAGGCCAGAGGAGACTATGATATTTCAGTTCCTCTGGGCTGACATCCCTCATTCCAAAAAGAATTTTCAGTCATTGCCATGTTGAGGTTCTCAAATACATCACATAGAGAAAGAAAAAAGCTGAGAGTTTGGTCTTGTCCCAATCTGAAGACCAGTGTGGAGGATATGGTCCTTCCCTATCCTTGGATTTCTCTCCCCTCTCCCATGCAAGATTCATTCAGAAAAACTACCGAAGGTCTCTTGAAGTTTTCCAAGATCTTGTATAATTTAAAGATAATTTCAAGCTGAGGTCTGGAGACCTAACCCACCTTTAGTGTCAATAAGGTACACTCACACTCACACACAAAACTTTTACAGTACTCCCCTTAACAAGATTTGTAGGCCTTATCCTGCCTTGCCTCACCTCGCCTCGCCTTGATTCATCTCATTTTGTCTCATCTCGTTTCATCTCATTTCATCTCATCCACTCTCATCCTGTCCCGTTTCGTCCTGTCTCATTTCGTTCTGTTTGGTTTTTTTCCCTTTACTCAAACCCCCACAGTTAAATTGTTGGCCTTTGACACTTTCATATTCTTTCATCAAGATAAGTTATCCTCTCTCTTTTCTCCCATTAAATTGCAAGAGGGAAAATGTAGAGAGGTTTGGAAATGGTGTGTATGTGTTAAATTCCAAGAGATTAAAAACGGCATAGTTTAGGAACTGAATTTTATTACCCATGACTGTAATTATGGCAGGACATCCCAATGAGTCTTCAAGAAGGAAAACTGATATTTTCTGGGCAAAGAGCTGACTCCTCCTCCTCCTCCTCCTCCTCCTCCTCCATTTATAGCATCGCATAATGGGGAATATAAATGGCATCTTCATCCCTTCCATGCACCATTCATTCCCTGTGATGCAAGCCCCAATGCCAACATTTCTTGACTTTTACCATGTTGTCAGAGAGCCAGAACAATCAGGGCTGGTATAAAATTCTCATTTTATTCATTCCAGGGACAGTAAAATGGAATGTGAAATTTTATCATTTTTACAAGGGTGGAGAAAAAATAAGGGACACATTTCAGGGGATGACACTAATCTTGCCTTGAAAAATATCTTTTTCCAACCCCCAAATGCTCTCTTCTTTCACTGAGTGCTGCTCACTGTCAACCACCTTCCAGAAATGACAGCCGCATGATGTGAACTCTTGTCCACTCTGAGCTGTGTCCATATTATCTGCTCATTTTAAAGCAATCTATAATAAACGAAGATGCCCACATTGCTGTTTTCAGATCTCTACTCTAGAGCCTGAAGAAAAGGTCATCACAGGACAAGGAAGATGCCCTTACCATAAGCAAGATTCCAATATTGCCCTGTTTGCAGGTAATAAGGCAAATTGGACAAATAATCTCCAAAGATATGCTTAGTCTAGTAAGGATATCATCATATTCAGTTAAGAGTGAAGCACAGGAACAATGACAGCTCTAAAACCACTGGAGCTGCTAAAGAGGAGGGATTGTTCCCTGCTGAGCAGTAAAAATAATACTTCATGCTCCTTTTATCTCCTCAAGAGAACAAGACAAATGCTGGATGCAAGAAGAGCTGGTGTGGAGTGGTGATCAAGACTGCATGACTGGAACTCAGTCAATCTGGGTTCAAGTCCCTGCTTGGCCATGGAGCCAGCTGGGTGACTTTGGGCCAGTCAGGGACTCTCATCCCAACCTGGGCTGAATTCACAGGGATGTTGTTGTGAGGATAAGACTTAGAGAAGATTATGTAAGCTGCCTTGAGTTCCCCGGAAGGAAAAAAGGCAGGATATAAATATAACCAGTGCTTTTTTTCTAAAAAACAAAAAAAAAGTGCCAGAACTCACATCTTGTTAATCCTTTATTTAGGGTTTTTTTAGGGTAATCTTTTATTAGTAGGCCTGGTGGTTTAGAAATAATTAGTAATATTTTTTTCATTTTTAAATTTGGGGTCACACTTTTACACTAAAAATTAAAAAAAGGTTTTCAATTCACCAACTTTTTTTAAATAAAGAAATTATTTACCTTTTGCACATAGCCAGTCACTCTACTGTGTAATGAAACATAATGGTCGCCGCCCACAGTAAGCACTCAGCGTGCGACCACATGACCAATCACAAGCTGAGCAGTGTCACAAGCTGAACAGTGCCATCACAACCAGTGTGGACACACAAGCAGCCCTCATGCACTATTTTAATGATTTTGCTGCCAACCTGCTATGCCCAACAGGGCGAATCAAAATCACTTGGAAAAATCTGTCAAAAAACGGTGCCGGAACGCTGTTCCAGTGCGTTCTATGACAAAAAAAAGCCCTGAAAATAACACTAAAAATAAAATGATAAATATTCACCTATACCAAGAAGAACTTTGTGTTTTGTTTCCTTGGAAGAAACAAATTGCTCAGGTTCAGTTTCTTTAAAATGCTCATTTTTCTCAATATCATCCATCACCCCAATCCCTGCGAATTCTTTTGTGCAGTCTCTGAGAACTGTGCATACAAATCTATTTACCTTCTGCAGACATTTTGTCTAGTACGTGCATTTTAGACATTATTTGGCCCAGTATAAGCACATCTGCAAGTGTGTTTTCTAATTCTAAACGTTGCTTTCCCTAATATACATTTTCCATCCATCTTTTGTTTTGTTTCTGGATTGGAAAACCTAGTCACAACATTTGTAGAAGTGCACATTTCAGCAGTTAACTGAGCTTTGTTGGAAAGAGTAAAATTAGCTAATTTTACATTGAAAGGGCAACTGAATGAGTTTCCCCCATCCAGCTTCAAAGAGAACTTGGCATGGTTCTTTCCATGCTGGCTGTTCAGGTGTACCTGAACAGGGGCTCATGTTGGTGCCTAAACTCCCCAAAACATTGGTCAACACATTTCAATTTTATAGTCACTAGAATGGCTTTTCCACACTTAATTTGACATGGAGGAAAGCTGAACTTAATGTTGGGCTTTAGCTTGACCACCGCTATTATAACAGCTATCATTAGTCAAAATGGCATACAAAAATGCATAAAATAAGGGAAAATGCAAAGATGCCTATAGTTTAGATGCACAAAATGCATGTACATTTTCATGCAAGCACTTTAAACATGCAAACTGATCCATTTCTAAGACTGCAAAAAAAGAAAGGAAATCAAAAATTCCTCTATTTCTCTCAATCATGATATTTTGCATAATGTTATTCAAAATGTTGCCATGCCTGATATCTCAAAACCAGTTTAACTGTGATGTGTATCACAGTGTTCTTATTGTTCCTGTTTTATCTTCTTTGCATCCCATTGTCATTTAAACATGTGGAATGTCATATTGTGCATTCTCTGTGCAATAGACACAACTTTCTTTCCAAGTGCTTTCTTACTTGATCAGAAATACAGTAGTATGGAGGCTCTTGGCCTTGACCCTGCCTAATCTTGGAAGCTAAGCAGGGTCAGCCCTGGTTGAAATCTGAATGGGAGACTTGAGTCCTGCTTTGAGCCAATGGTTGGACATGTTGACCTGCTGGGCCCCTTCCAACTGTATGATTCTATGATTTCAATGATTACTTAGTTCATGATAACTGATAGTAACTGTATTTTCCCCATCTCTGTTTCTACTCCTCCTCACTTCAAGATGGCAATCTGTATTCTGCCACGGTGTCAGACTACATGGGAAGAGATGCAGTCATATACAGGAGCATTGGAGACAGCCCAAAGCTGCGGACATTCAAAGATGATTCGAGATGGTTGAAGAGTGAGTAAACCAAAGTGGCAGTAGAAGGGGAAGTCACCCTTTCAACTTAGCAGAGACAGCTGGCACACTGGGAACCAACTCAGCTGCCAGGACACAGTGCAGCAAGGGCATTCCAGATTTGGAGCTCCATCTCCAGTCTCAAGCCACCTTTCCAAGATTGGAGTCGAGACTCCAAATTGTTCCATCTAGGAGCCATGGAATGACACCCTAGATTAGTATAGGATAGCCAGTTTATGTTATCCCTGTTATTACTGCTGCTGCATTTGTCAGTGCGTTATACAAGCCTTTCCTTGTATAGGGATTGATGCATTTGCCTTGGCAGGGAGACAATCTGACTAGCTCTGGTTCCAACCTCAGACCAGGAAATCCAAAGAATTATCTGGGCATCTAGACTCTGTCCAGGAGCATAGGATCCCTGTGTGATGTGTCCATTCCTAGGATGAACAGAAATGTACCCCACATTTAGCTTGTGCTCTCAGTTTTGTTCTCATGAATACTCTCCATAGTGCTGTTTTGACAATCAAAACATTTGGGCTTGTTTGCAGATCCTCACTTTGTCCATGCTGTGGACTATGGTAATTATATCTACTTCTTCTTTCATGAAGAAGCAGTCGAGTACTCTGGCTTGGAAAAGGTAAGGGATGAACACTTTTCACAAACAAGTGAATGTCAAGAGTCCCCTTAATTTTATTTGTGCCTTTGTGTTCTACTCCCCTTCCCAGAAACTGAGAGTGATGGAGTTTGGAAGAAACCTGCTGAGTAATTCTACCTGTTGACTTCTGGAGTTTCTTCTGCTTACTTCTTAGTGGAAGGCTGTCCTTCTTATGAACTACTATAGTCTACTGAGTAGACAATTTGAAAATGCACCCAAGCAATTCAGTCCTGCTTTGGAGTACACCTGCAGAGCCTAATGGCTCTATCAAAGGCAGTATGCCTATGTACCCCATTTGCTGGGGAACATGGAAATGAGAGTGCTTTTGCACTCATATCTTGCTTGTGGACAGCTTGTGTGGTGAACAGAATATTGAACTAGATGGTCTGATCCAGCATGTCTTTTATGTTCTTGTATTCTTAGTCTTACCCCACTTACTTCTGAATAGACTTAAAACTGGTAATTATCACATTATCAGCCTTCCCACTTTCCTTTCACACTTTCTATGCACTTTTGGATTTGTCCACAAATGGAATATGACCCTCAGCACCTTTCCCAAACTGGAATGTGGCCCTTGAGCTGGGAAAAAAGGCAAATAAAGAATTTTGTTACACACTAAGAACAGACCCAATGAATCCAATGGAACCATTCCATAGATTTCAATGGACCTGTAGTATGACAGAGTCTAGATCCAAGCCTTAATTTCCACAACTAATAAATATAAAAATGAATAAAATTAGCAAGGTTAAAACTGAGTTGGACATTTAAAAAAATAGAACTGATGTTTTTAAAATGCTGAGCATACAAGTTGCGTTATAGACCACAAGGAATTTCCACTGTGATATGTGTTTGTGTTTGCAGGAAGAACAAGCTGAATGATCTGCTGTGCATAGAAATCGGTAGCCCTGGGGTGAGATTGTTCTCACTGAGGGTTTAGAACACTGCATGAAATATACAGAGTGCTCTCTTTAATTATCATAATTTACTATTGGGTCATTCTTTTGTGTGTTATTTTAAATGATGTTAGTTGCTTTGGACATCTCTGTTTCAGAGGGGGAAAGCAAGAAACATATTAAAAAGGAAAAAATAAACAAATAAATGCCATTCTTCAAGCTGAATTCTGTCAAAGATTTTAGAAAATGTGAGATCAGATTTAGCCTCCATGCTTTGTCTATTCTGTATTTCAAAAGAAAAGAAAAGAAAAGAAAAGAAAAGAAAAGAAAAGAAGAGGGAGAACTCCAGTGAAATAAATGATAAATTCAGTCTCTTTAGGAAGAGTGGATGAAAAAGTCAGTTTCGCTCTTAAAAATAACAATAACAACCTAAAGTTCTTTCCATCCCAACTAAGAAGACATTTGAGAATTTTGGCAAATTTATATCTCAAAAAACTCTGCAGTGAAATCCTCACCCATTACTACACTTTCTCCTTGCTTTCTTCCCTCTCTATAGCTCTTTTTACCAAGAGTAGCTCGAGTTTGTAAGAATGACATGGGTGGAAATGCAGAATTCCTAGAAAACGAATGGACTTCCTTCCTGAAGGCGCGGCTAGCTTGTTCCATTCCTGGGGACATACCCTTCCATTTTAACACACTACAAGCAGTTACAGATGTTGTTAAATACCATGGTCAGGATGTGGTCATAGCAGTCTTCACCACCCCTTCAAGCAGGTAGCTTATGCAGAAGCATTTATCATTTATAAATGGGTTTATCTTGTTGCCTATATGAAAATAACACAATCATTGAAGAATTAATATAATTAAGTGTACAGTTGGGCATGGTGCAAATATGTAGCAAATGGTATGGATGGGAAATAATGGTCCAACATGCATACCAAGCATTACAATACACTGGTACCTCAGCTCACAAACGCCTTGGTTCATGACCAAATTGGGTTGCGAACAAAAATTTCATGAAAATTTTGATGTGGGTCACGAACTCTGCATTGGGTGGTAACCAAGATCGCAGCCATCTCCCCACCCCACCCCCAGTGGGGAGATGGCCATGACTGCAGTTGCGTTCGTGCAGGGAAGACATGCGTGGCCATCTCCCCATTCGGGCTCAACCGAGTGGGGAGATGGCCACAATCATGCTGGGGGAGTGGGGGGAGATGGCCAAGATCGTGCCCATCTCTCCCTCTCCCAGCATGCCCCATTCATGCCTGTCTCTCTCTTTCCCCACAGCTTGCCGGGATGACAGGCGCAATCTCAGTCATGCTGGGGGGGGGGGGGGGGGGAGGTGGCTGGCACTTGTGCTCAGGGTGGGGTGGGGGAGATGGCTATGATCTTTGTTGTTCTTTGTCACTTTGCTTCACATTTTTCTGTTTAAAAAATGGTTATAGAACTGATTAACCTTATTTACATTGAACCTTATGGGGAAATTTAACTTGGCTCACAACCAATTTGGGTCACAACTAGAGTCCTGGAATGGATTAAGTTTGTGAGCCAAGGTACCACTGTATCTCCTACCAATTACATAGCTCATACAGGAAAGTAAGCACTTATGAAGCTAGTTTTTGGTATGCAGGATTTCCATTCTTTGCAACCAATGGAAATATCCAAGGCTGACAGCAGCAGTCATTGAAGTCCACTGCCAATTCAGGGTGGGTGTATCTCCTAAATATGTTTTTATTCAGATTTCCATTTTTCCAGAGTTATGTGTATTTTATATTGCATTTGTGAATTTTTTAGTTTTGGATTTCATTCCTCCGAAGTATTAAGAGTAACAATAGTAACAACTGCAATAAGAATAGCATGCAAATTCATAGACATTTTGTGCACATTTCTCCCAATGCATTCCTTTTGCAAACAATTTTTCAAATATACCATTTTTTGGAAAGTTACTTTCACTTAACACATAACATTTCCTTGAATTGCGGAACTCCATTGAAAAATTTGGAAAAGTTTTATGAATTTCAGCACTTCTCCAATTTAAAAATGCCTCCCAATTTCCAACAGTGTTGCTCTCAACTTTCAGTTTTAGTTATAAGTTAGTTTGACTGAGAAGTAGTCCAGCAAGACTAAGGCCTGGGAAACCCTGTGAAAGGTCAAGGCTGACATGGGAGAGGTTCTGTCAATTCTCCTACAGAGAAAAAAATGTGGGAGTCAGGCATGAGAGCTGCATCCTCTCTGGGAATTGAGAAGTAGTGTGGAAAAATATAGAAACAAAGTGAGCCAGAAGGGGTCTCCCAGGCCATCTAGTCTGACCGTTGGCTCCAGCCAGCTCTGCTCTTGAAATACCTACTGTACAAAAAGATTACACAAAACCTATGAAAAATAAGTTATTAAGAAAATTTGACCGGGACTTTATTTTGAAATACTGTGCTTTCTTGTGGATTCTGCATGGTGCTTTTTTGGTGAAATGGGCTCTGACTAGAGATCTGGCCAGGCTAGGATTAAATCCAGAACTTGGACTTGAACTTGAACATGGTGCCTGGACCCATATAGCACAGAAATCCCAAGAAGGGTCCAGATCTCTGCATGTGAGTACTTTGGTGCACTTGCCATTGACCATCTTCTGATCTCACAGATATGAGAAGATCAGTCTCACTTAATGCAGAGGTTCCAATACAGTGTGCATACTTGATACTGACCTCTGTGTGGCAGGTTCATTCAGATCCTTCCCTTGAACCCTGGTCTTGGAATGCCTGCAATGGATAACTTCAGGAAGTCCTTCTCCCCTCACTTTTATTCTTAGCTGCAGAGATTTCAACTGGGAGCCCATGCTGTCATAAGTCTCTGATAAGACTGTGGTTATTACCTGTAACATTTCATGAGAACGGTACTGGTGCCTATGAAAATTAACCATCTTCCACATGTTCTTCTGAAGTGGTTTTCTGAATGAACTATCATGCTTTTGCTGTGAGATTCCTTTCAATAAAAGTCTTGCTGATTTAGTGTATCCTGGGTTGGATTGCCAAAGTTATCATTTGTGGGCCTAGCAAACTTTGTCCATTTGTTTATGATCAGTACTTGAACAGGGAAGAGATCAGCCAATGGGTATGCGTGCTCGCTTGTTTGTTCAACATGCATTTTAATATGAATTTTACAAAGTTCATATTTTTCAAAATACTACCAATTTCATAACTGCAGTGTTAGATAGCAAAATATGCCTATTCATAAAAAATGTGCACAAAATTGCATACAAATTTCCATGCAACTATTTTAAAAAACTATCTGAATCTGGAACAACAGAAATTAAAATACTGGAAAACTAACAATAGGAGAAACCCAAATTCTTTCATCCATAAAACATATCACTCTAACACACAGTAGTCAGAAAGTTCTGGCATGAAAAAAAATGCCCCAGGAGAACTTCTGTATGACATTTTTCTCAGAGATGCATGTGTTACTTCAGGATGTATAACCATTTCTGGAAATGTTGAATTTCTAGAATCCCTGCATCTGCAGTCTGTGCTTTTAGTCTTCCGGACATTGAAAAAGTATTTGATGGGAGTTTCAAAGAACAGAAAACTCCACATTCAAGATGGACACCAGTTCCTGATTCTAAAGTGCCAGTGCCCAGGTATTTTGATTCTGGAAGGCTGCTGCTACACATGGAATGTGTTCTCTGTTATTGTAATAAAACCTGCAGTCTGCAATATAAATGTTAATGCAAATGTTCAATACCTAGAGAGGCAGAAGCAGATTAAGAGAAAGTGCAGCTCTCTTGAACCCCCGCTCCACATGTCCCAGGCGGATTATATCTCTTCATTTAGCATCACTACCAGGCTAATTTGGGGGTGAACTACTGCTTGAGAATACTCCTGTTTCACCCAATATTCATCCCTCCATAGAAAATGGCTGGATTTCCCCACATGTGCACACCTCTCTTTAGGGATGTCCCCTGTGCTGTAGCAGTTGCCCACAAGGAACATGGTGGGGGGCATGAATGTTGCTTTTTGTTATCCAAAATGTAAAGGCTACTCTTGCAATCTCCCCTCACATAAGTCAGAACCTTGTCAAGCATGACACTCTCAGAGGAGGGTGTCGGATCTGCAGATTCCATTCAGCTATTTCAAGAAATTAAAATACAGTATATTTTCTGCCTAACACCCTCACTGCTCCACTGTCACCATTTAAGGGCACATAAAACATTAGCCACCTGCACCTATTTTCAAAAAATGAGCAGGTTTAAGTCTCTCACAAATTTCTCCCAGTAAAATATTGTGGATTTTCATTCACAGGAAGTGGGAGATTTGGATTTAGCTCCCAAGTGGAATTGAATCCAAGGCAACCTGGGATGCTTTAGGAATGACTGAATTGGGATCCAGTTAGAGATGATGCATACTCTTAATTCCCATGTTACATCAATTGGGTATAGAATCCCAGGACCACCTACACCTAGAGTTAATTTAAGGCCCAGTACAGCAGCCATCATTTTAGCTCATTAAACCTTAGTTAATTAGGCCAAAACTGGGTGTCAGGAAAATTTAATCCCTTACTTGACATATTCTGATTTTGGTGTGACCACTGTGGTTTCTTTGAATCACAGTTTCAGAATTCCATTTGCAGTCTGAGATTAAGACAGTCTCTAGAGAAGGTTCGGTAGGAAATGGCGATTAGCACAAACCATGACAACAGTGCCAAGCTACTGTAACACAGGAAAAAGAGGAGTGGGGATTGTGCAGGCTAAATGCTCACATACAGTCTAATAAACTAAGGCTGTTCAGGCTGAGATATTTACAACAGAACTGCAACAGCAGGGGGCTGGAGTCGATGGCCTTCATGGCCCCTTCTAACACTACAATTCTATGATTCTTTGAACGGGTCTTAAAAAGTTTTTAGCTATACACTTACTTCAATGTTTTCCATACTGTCTCTCCATATTCTCACCCACCACAGGGTTGGGGAACCTTTTTCCACTTGAGGGCCAAATTCAGTTTTGGATACACAAAATCCTGCAACTATCAAGTAATCAGGGACTGAACTGGGACTCCAATACAGACGATTGTGCAGTGGTTGTACTGCTTACAAGAAGATGCTACAACATAACATTACAAGTGCAAACAAGTTGTAAATTACCCCATTCTCTACTGTGCTGTGCTCTGTTTAGACCAGGTTCTTGTGCTGGCTCTGGTTCCCTTGAAGGGTACGCATCATCACATGACATTCCAAGGGACACGCTACATTTTCTCAGGAAGCATACCCTCATGGATAAAACAGTGGAATCTTTTTCCCATGAACCGTGGCATCTTAGGACAAATGCCAAGTAGGTTTCTCTCTCTCTCGCTTGCTCACTTGTTTGATCATCGTTCATTAATTTGGTCTTTCTTTCTTTCCTTTTTTTTCTTTCTTTCACTCACTTGTTCAATTGTTGTTCATTTGTTTGTTCTTTCTTTTGTTCACTCTTTCTCCTGATCTGTTTGCACTTCTGCATCAGTGAGTCTGATGCAGCAGCTGCACATCTAGCTTTGACATGGATTGCAAATTGGTTGGAAAACCAGGTGATGGCAGCAGGAAGAAATGAAAAGCTATTGTGAGGGAAGCAAATTCTAGGTTTTGTGTTTATCTATCTTGTAGGAGTGGACAAAGGAGCAGTCTACTAGTAAGTCATTCAGTGAATGGCAGTGGGCTGACAAGGGTGGCTGGCTCCCAACTGTTTCACAATAGCAGCAATAACAAAGGTGTCATAACCCCTACCCCAACATACTAAGGAAGCAGTCCTACGGCCACTAGACTGTGTCCTGTCCCCCTAGACATGCTATGGCCCTAGATTACAGAGGCTAGTGCATTACTTATCTTGGTCCTCTGCAGTGTCCTGTCCTTCACACCCAAAAATGCCCCAGCTGAACAGATGAAGATGGCATCTAGCAGAGATGCAGAGGGAGGGGAGTAGGACAGAGAAGATCTCCACTGCTTCTCTTGGTCTGCACAAGAAGCCCGTAATCCTTTGTGTTCAGAGGTTTCTGGGCATCTTACTCAGATTGCCCCTGAGTGAAGAAGTTAATAATCCTTATCTCTTGGGTGCTCCTTGATCCAACATTGTCACTCAAGGCCCAGGTGGCTTCAGTGGCTTGAAGTGCTTTCTGCCACCTTTGGCTGGTAGCTAAACTATGCCCCTATCTGACAGAGATAGCCTGCTATCAGATTGCTATGCTCTGGTAATCTAAACTGGATGACTACAATGCATTCTACATGGGACTGCTCTTGAAGACTGTTTGGAATCAGAGGGTCTGCTCTCATAACACCAATTCTGGATCACTTGTACTGGTTGCCTATATGCTTCCAAAGCCAATTCAAGGTGCTGGTTTTGTCCTATAAAATCCTACATGACTTAGGACCACACCAACCTGATGGAACACCTCTCCCAACCTTTATCTCCCCAGATACTATGATCAAGTACTGAGACCTTCCTCTGAGGAAGTGCAAATGCAGTCAATTCACTTCAAATGTGGCTTGAAAAAGGTTCCCCTTCTTCCTATCCAAAATACAGTGCATTGTATCCAAAGGCATAATATTAATCTCATTGCTTTAAGCAAAGCTAAATTCCTCTGGATCCAACCATTTGTGCAGAAATTCCTGTCCAGTATGAGTGGAAAACTGTAAGTTTATGTAAGTATAGATACATGGAGTAATATCTAATTATGAAATGAAGGAAGCATTAAGCATATTTTGTAAGTGGAAGGAGTGATAAAACAAATTGAAGAATGGTTCACTGATTAATCATACAACCCTGTATTTGTTTAGAGATAATAATTCCTATAGCTGCCAGCATTCCCCACTGCTGGCTCAGGAATACTGCAAATTGTAGAACTTTTCCTCTAAATATGCTTAGGATCATGCCTTAATGCTCTTTCGTAACATTATCATTCCAGGTATTGGCATGTCAAAATTGCTGTGGACAATGCTGCTGGGCCAAATGGGGACCACACTGTTGTATTCCTTGGAGCAACTGACGGATGGGTTACAAAGTTCTTGGCCAGACCAGAAGGCAACATTTTCATAGAATCTATGAAGGTTTATAGTTATGAAAAGTATGTCCTATTGGTTCTGTATGTTTTCTGATACTCATTTCTCAAATGTATTTTATTTGAATTTTATGGATTTTAACTTTACTACAAAAAGGTTATTATTTTGCATTCCACCCAATCCCAATACATGCTTTCAGACCCAAAATCAAAACTACAAAACTAAAGAGCATAAATTTGCAAAGAGTCGGATACAAATAGAACAATCCTATGAGTGCCTCTTTAGAAGTAGTCTATACTGAATTCAATTGGACATACTCCCAAGAAGTGTGCATAACCCTGCCAATTAAACTACTCATACTCAGGTCCAACTGAAATCACATGGACTTAATTTGCTTATGAATAATTGCATGGGGTTCATTGGAGCCTGTGTGTGCCTATGTTAGGCTGGATCCAACCTTTAGTATTGACGTAGCCTCCCTTTAACCCCTTCCTTGACAAAGACTTTAGTCTCTTAATAAATTCCACCCTGTATGTGTCACTGGAATTCCACAAGACCTTGAGAAATTTGGGTTTCAAGTTGGAATGATGGTCAGGAAATGTTTCCTCTAAGAAGGGTGACTTGTAGCCCTTCCTATGAACCTTAGCTAGCATAGCCAATGATAACAGGTCACGGGAGCTGTGGGCAGAAGCTTCTTTAGGATCACGAAATCCTATCACTGATCCAAGCCGCCACCACTGCCAGACAAGGGAGTGAGGAACAGTGCCAGTCTTCCTACTATACCTTGCTTGCCATGGGGCACCCAATTTGCCTCATAAAGGTAGAACATTGCATACCTTACCCAGCTCATAGTGAAATTGGCTGGATGATGGTTGAGACTGAAGAAATGGTCTTCCTCCCCTGAACCCCCATTGCAATGTGACACTAAATTCCTCACAGTGTATTACACAACTACTGATCTGTATCCTAGGTAGCTATGAATGAGAGGAATGGGGATGCTTCTCTCCTACACATGGCCACCAGCCCATCTTCCACTGGATGTGGACAGAGAAGCATTTTTGCACATCAGTCGCTCCCCATCTCATGCTTGTGTTCCAGCAAGTCTTGCCTAGAGACCATGGGTCTCTGGCAAGCACCACTGCTGCTCTCATTCCCTGCTTTCTGGCTCTTCTGAGGCAGCTGGTTGATCACAGGAACAAAGGAGGTTGGGCGAAATAGGCCCTTTGTCTGATGCAGCAGAATGTCCATCCATTTTAACCCAGGCTGCTGGCCTAGGCCAGGTGCGGGCCCTTTGTATGTTTCAACCTACAGCTCACATCACCCTTTCCTATGGTCTATGCTGACTAGGGCTGACTGGCGCCACAGGTCAACACACCTGGAAGGCCACAAGTTGTTCAGCCCCAGTTTGTAGAACATGACTCAAAGTTCTATGGGTGCTTTTCTGAGAGTGGAACGCCTCTATTCATTTCATTTTATCTTGCCAGAAGGCTTGTTACCAGAATATCCTAAACTGATGGAGTTGTATGTTTTTCAAATCAGGTGCAGTAGTGGACAACAGAGGGATGCAATAGTTGTGGACATGAAGGTGGACAAGCCAAATGAAGTACTTTATGTCGCATTTTCCCATTGCATCGTAAGGGTTCCTCTGGGCAGTTGTGAACGTCATGGCCCATGCAAAGAGTAAGCATGTTTTACCTCATCTTTATCCTTGTCAACCCCTTTTCCAAAACCTTATCAAATGTTAAGAACACTGGTAAAGAATTTGAGAGTGAACAATGTTTCTCCTTTAATAAGTGCCTGCCTGACTTCTCGAGATCCATATTGTGGATGGGCAAATGAGTCATGCATACACCTCTCTCCTGGAACGAAGTAAGTCATTACTGACTTTGTGGGATTTTGTGAGTTTGATTATTAGGATTGCTTAAATCTGCTTTTAGATGGAGCTGTGGTGAAACCCAGCAAGCAATAATAGTCTTCATTAAGGAATGTGATAAACATGTGTTTTCATCCCATTGGTAGGCCCATCTGCCTCCAGAGGACTGTTTTGGTTACATTTCTTTCTGATTATTTATTGAACTCCTCAGGTCACAATCCTAGGCCATCAAGAGACTGCAGATGGCCACTGGATAGGTCCAAGTCCTGGCTATCATCCTGGAAATGTGTTCTGAGGTTGGAGCTGGACTCCACCTGCGGAGAATTCTGATGCCTTCTGTCCTCATAGCCAGTGCAGTGCTTTCCTCACCAGCAGTGACTCCAAAGTGCAACTCCAGAGTGGGCACTGAGGGTGCATTATGCAGGCAAGGAGTCATAGAATGATGCTGTGCTTGAGACAGGAGGAATCCTGGTAGTACTTCAACCAAGCCTCCTTGTGAGCAAGAGCTAAAGCCATCAGCCATCCAGAAGGGCAGGACAAACCTTCCATTGGATGCCCAGAAACCTCTGAGTTCACAGGGTTATGGGCAGTCTCACTGGATGTCCCCCTCTGCCTCAAAATCTTCCAGAGGATCTGAGAATCACAGCACTAGTGCTCAAAAATGAAATTACAGATTTAAAACAGTTTTTAAAAAGTAGATCTTAAAATGCCTGGGAGAATAAAATGACTGCTCCTGAGACCCCAAAGACCACAGTACAGATGTCAGCTGAGCCAATGTGGGGAGGCCATTCCACAACCAGTGTGCCATAACAGAAATGCCCCTCAGTGATGGGGATACCCAGAAGATCACCTGCAAGGAGCATCTTAAGGCACAAAAGATGTAGCAGAGAACTGTCATTAAAAACGGCCTCCCTCTTTTGCATCTCCTGCCCCACCCAATAACTTCCAGCATAACTCAATTCATGTTGCAGTCCATTTTCTCACAACTGGTCCTTATTATTGTAAGCAGCAACAGAGAAATTCTCAACATGGTAATATCATGGTCATGACAGGATGAACTATCCTAATTGTGATAAGGTATACTTTTGAGCTCATCCCCAAGTACATACCCAGATATTATTATTGCATCACTACATTATATTACATTATATCCCACTATTTCCTCTTGGGAGGCAGGTTAGACTAAGAGTGAGGGATGGGCTCAAAGTCACATAGGGAGTTCCATGGCCAAGTGGCAACCAGAACCCGATTGACTGGGTCTCTGGCCTGGCACTCTTGCCACCTTGCCAACCTGCTTCTCAGGTACTGCACAGTGTCCATGCAAAAGAAGAAGAGGTGGCAACTCGCTAGCTAATACAGACATGTCAGCCTGAGTAGAAAACCTCAATGCACTTGACTTTTGCCGATTTTCACAGGTCCAGTTTTGCTTACAGGTAGTGATTTGCTCAAGGTCAGCTTGGCAGCAGTAATATGAGTAGTCTCATTATGAAAAGTATATATGCTTTTTATGGTAAGGGTTTTGGATGCACTAATTGACACTATTGTATTTCTTTCTGCTGTTTAGTGTTGAATACGAGCAAGACTTACCATACGAGCAAGCAAACCATTTGTGCTGAATAGTTGTTATTTATCCTGAATAATTGTTAAAGGAAGTTATTCATCCATCTGTCCTAATGTTAGAAAAACTACAATGCTCTGGCTCATGACGTCCTTGCATATGATGAAAATGTCTTAAGTGAATTCAGTCAAAGTGAAGATTGGCTCTTGAACTGAATTTGCCTCATGTTTTCCAAATAATAGGATACCGATGCTACTTCAAATAAATGCAGTAAAATGATTTTGTCTTTGGACAGGTCATTGTTTTCCCTTTTTCAAAATTTGAGGGACTCCTGCTTGATTGAGAGAACATTCAGAGTCACTCAATATTAATAGAATGGGGATATCTGATTTACCTTTCACCTATCTTGACATTCTTTACAGTCACACTACAATGTGGCAGTTGCAATAGTACAAACATGGGCTGCTGCATAAGTGAATTATTTATTTACAATTACAATGATGTTTATATTGGTCTGAGAATTACAAGGAACTGTGGATCAGCCAAAACCAGACTTTACAATTACAGCAGTAAAAGCCCAGAAGTAGTCACATCAGCAACTTAAATCAGTTTAAAGTGCCTTGGCATACAGATAGGTTTTGACATGGTAAAAGGGAGGAAATAATGTCTTCACTAATCACAACTACACTGGAAAAGTGTCCCACGATTGGAGTTCTGCAATGAAATAGGCTGACTCCCCCACTGATGCATGATGTACCAACTGTACTAGGGAAAGAGCTACCCCTCACTAGCTTCCATCATATGTGGGGTCATCCTTAGTAACTCATTCTCTTTCTCTGTCTACATTGGAATAGATTAAATTGCCTAATAATTTCTGACCCAATTACTGTCAAGGCCTAGAAATCTTTAGCTACAGAAAAGAAATGACATCCAGTGTTTTGGTGGTTCAACAAGATGATGTTGCCTTAATCATATAATGGAAACAAGTTTCATGAACAGGTTTGAAAACAAGCATTCATTGGACTCTTTTGCACATGGAGCATTTGCTGGCTACTCTTCTCAGGGCCTCCCTCACTTCTTTGTTCCTTAGGCTATATATGAGTGGATTGATCAGAGGTGTTAGGATGGTGTAAAACACGGAGAAAACTTTGTTCAACTCTCTCAGCTCATTGTTGTCTTGCAAAAGGTAGACAACAGTGAGACTACCATAGAAAATGGTCACCACTATGAGATGAGAAGAGCAGGTAGAGAAGGCTTTTTGCCTCCCCGTGATGGATGGTATTCCCAGAATGGCACTGATTATGTATCCATATGAGGTGATGGTTAAAATGAATGGTGGCAAAGTGGAGATAGATGTCAGAACAGCTGATACAAGTTTGACTTGGCCTGCATCACTGCAGGCCAGATTCATCATTGGAATGAAATCACAGAAGAAATGCTCAATGACATTGTGGCCACAGAAGGAGAGCTGCAATATAAACATTAACAGTATAGTGTCAATTATAAAACTGCCAATCCAAGATGCAGCCACCAGGTGGAAGCAAACCTTAAAATTCATAAGTGTGGAGTATTGCAGGGGTCTACATATTGCTATATAACGATCGTAAGACATGGCTGCCAGGAGGTAGCATTCAGCTACTGCTAAGAAAACAAAAGCCCATAACTGCACAATGCAGCCCTTAACATAAACACGTTGGTTTTTCGTTAAGAAACCAGCTAATATTCTGGGGAGAATGGCTGAGCTATAGCAGGTCTCCAAGCATGAGAGATTCCCTAGGAAGAAATACATGGGGGTATGTAAGTGATGATCAGTGACTACTAGTGCAACAATGAGAAGGTTTCCAGCCATAGTCATGATGTAGATCATTAGGAACACCACAAAGAGAAGAATCCATAGCTCCTGCAGGTCTCCAAAGCCCTGAAGTATAAATTCCATAATAATAGTTTCATTTCTCATTTCCAGTTTCTGCACAGTTTTCATCTAATGGAAACAATCTGTCCAACGAACATGATTTTCTCAGGTTGTTTTCCCGTCAGACAATGCACTTTGATGCCAAGTCAAGTCTTCCTGGGTGTTCTGATCAATAACAAGGATCACATTAATATTCAGAAAAGGTACCAGTAGCTCTTACCTTTGTGCCTTAGCATCACTGAACTGTTTTAAGACAAAAACTCTTGAAAGAATTCCCCTATTATACAAAGCAATCATGCATTTCCTCTTCTCTAGAATGAGAAAGTTAGTTTTTAAAGAGTGCAGATATTATACACAAATGCATACAGGAGGCAACTTCGTTTTCTTGGAAATACATTTCTGGTTCCATCCAGTATATTTTAATCTTGTTGAAGGAAGTAATTAGGTTGCCTTCCACTCCTCTTCTCTTAGCTTACTTCTTTCTGTACTATGAATTTGTAGCAATTTCATTCAGTATTTTTCACACTCACACACAGAGGGGTGGGGGCACAAAACATCCATTAATCCAATCTCGTACAAAGCATTGAAAACCCAAAATGCCATGAGAACACTCTTGATTTGTTTCCACTGTTCCCCTGAAAATCCTGGAGGCATTTCCATGTAATGCAGCAACATATAGGTTAGCCTCTTCAATTAAGCAGAACTAAATGACCATACTTTTCCAGTGCAGCAACTAAGTTGGCAGCTTCCTCCAGCCCAAATTACCAACAAAGGATTAAACTATCCATCTAATCACCTTTTTACAGGGAACAAGAGGGGGCACTTGTACCTCTCTTGTATCTCTGGTAGCAACAGTGCTTTGGTATCCTTGATGCTATTTGTCCATGGTATGTGTCTATGCAGGCGGGAGCCAGGAGCAATTGGCAACATCCCTCTTGGGACTTCACTGAAAATCACAATGGTTTCAGAAACTCAGATATATAAACTCAGACACCAGTCCAGTTTGGTCAACACTTACCGGCAGAAGTTTTCTGCAGTTTCAAGAAATGGAAATCAAGGAAATGCAGTGATCAAACCTGGCTGCTCTACCACCAAACCTTCCTGGGATAGGTAGACAGGTATTAGACACACCAGGGCTCATGAACTATTGTGAAAGGGTGCATTAAGGTTCTATGGAAATATAGAATATCTACCTGAGTTTCAAGTCTTTATAAAGCTCTGAGTGATTCCTAGTAACATACATACTTTTAATACAGTGTTGGCCTAAAAGCTCCTTAATAGGCAAATGCTGTTCTCTTTGTTTGTTAAAAGAATGAAATTGATTGATAGCCCAGAAGCATGCTTGAATGATGCATATAATGAACCTGCAGTTCATAGAAATTTATTCATGTACTTGTAATGGTAGATCAGTGAAAATGTTTGGAGCCTCCCACCTTTGACAAGGAAGTCATTAAATATTGACAGCTTGTGCTTTGATCAAGAGACCACATTCTATCAATGTTATTGTTAGTTGTGAAGTCATGTCCAACCCATCACGACCCCATGGACAACATTTCTCCAGGCCTTCCTGTCCTCCACCATCCCCCAGAGTCCACTGCTTCAGTGACTCCATCAAGCCACCTCATTCTCTGGCATCCCCTTCTTCATTTGCAGTCAATTTTTCCCAGCATTAGGCTCTTTTCCAGGGAACCCTTCCTTCTCATTAGGTGGCCAAAGTATTTGAGTTTCATCTAGGATCACCAATATTCAGAAATGAGCATTCCATTTTGGAAGCTGGTCATGTCTGATCACTCTTTAACTGTAAATGCACACACTCTCACCAAGATAATAAGCTCTACTAAAGAATGCCCACAGCTTTCTCACTCACCTTTCAGATGTATCAGAAGAAATGTTCTTTTATCAGTTATCACTCAAAGAGGATGATTACAAACAGTAAACATGTCTAGAAAAGTATGGAAGACTTTGGAATTATTAGATAACAAAGGAACAAAGGTCTTATACCTTCCATGACTGCACTGAAGGAAAACTGTAAGGGAGCAGCTGATCTTATCATAATACTGCAGAAGAATTAAAAAGGGCACATGAGTTCTGTCTTCTTTTGTCTCACATTGTCATTATGACCTAGTTTGTATGCCATGCTGAAGGAAATTACCTGCATTCAATGCATTCAGGCGATTCTTACCTGGAACCTGAGCCAGAAGAAAGACACAGCCCTATTTCTAGTCTTAAATCAGGAGCTTCCCAGTATTAAAGGCCTGTTTAAAACACCTTTTTGAGTTGCCTGCAAAGCATTATCTTTAGGTACTGGGACAGTTTAGTTCAAGCATCATTCATCAGCTATATTAACCATCACTGATTCTCCACTGCATGCTCAGAGCTTCTTATTTAAGCTATAAGTACTCAAGAAGAAAGTGAGAAGCTTTCACATTCTAATTAGTCACTTGGGAAATGTCTAAGGTTAAATACACACAGTAACTGTGACTTTCTTTGAGGATTATATATATTTTAGGTGAAATACCCATGGATTGAGAAGAGAAGCTCTATAATTTTCTGTAAGATCAGCAACATTTACAGAACAATATTTGAACAGGTTTTCTTCTGTATTCCTAGGTTGTCAGTGGGTTTTCTATCAAGTAAAATCAATTCCAAACTCTTAAAGAGTCCAGTCATCTCCATTCACAAAATACAGAAGAAAATAAATACATAAGAATAAATATTAGATTGTGTAATAAAATATATATTGCAAAAGTAAGCACAATATGCTTTAAAAAAAAAACAAGAATCAGGGCAAAGTCTACAACTGTTACTACACTCAGTACTCCTTAGATTTCATTCTCTTGTATAATTCATGTAAAAGTACACCTAGAAACTTCTGGAATATTGTCAAAATCAGGATGGTAAAAATGTGCCAAAATTTCAGCCTACATTTTTCTTAATATAAACCAAAGCATACCTGGGGAATAAAATTTCACAATAATTGCAGTACAATATTTTTGTGGAGTATTTTATACCCCAAACAAAGGAACCCTCAAAGAGGCACAAAAGGAGGTTAACTACAGGTCATCTTAGTCTCTTTAGAATGCCAAAAGGTGGAGCTTAAGCCTCCAGCAGACAGAAGTAAATTCCATTGAATGAAACCTTTTTCATGTCCACCCTCACCACCAGCATAGAAGGAACTAAGTGCTATCTCCTGCATTTAAAAAAATCAAGTTCTTCCATTGTGAATGTGAAGAAATATGCAATTTTTGTACATTCTCATCAAAACAAACAGAATTCAAATTCTTAGCAGCACCTCATAGTTGTGTAATGGAACATATATGAAGACGGAGATGGAAACATCCCAGGAAAAATGGGGGAATGTAAATAACCCTTTCTTGACCCTGCAAAGTATCCAGGGTTCCTCACATAGCTAGGGTTGTTCAAAGTGTGTGATGGACAATTTCATATCAAATATATTATGATCAATTTTCTCATGCTAAATGGACCTTATGGCAACATCCAGATTTCAAAATCAATTTGATAATATTCTTGTGATGCACTTGCATGGACAAGTTGATCTTGCTTTGTATTGATAGATGGTGTATGATGGTGAAGCTTGTCATTTACTGATTTTTGTGTCAAATACCATTTGCAAGCACTTTTGTTGACTTGGACCTGACCTACCTCCAATGAACCATCAGATACAAAAGTGGCACTATACTGCTTATACTGAATAAGACATTCCAGATCATTGTTCCACGACTGCATTAGATCCTATGTAGCATATTTATTCTCTGATAATAGATTCTAGATTCTAACCAATATTGCAACCACAAATATTACCATTCAGCTGCAGCAGGAAAATCATATTTGAACCATTTCATAATTTGGCTATTCCCCCATGTAATGGCTGCTGAATGCTCTTCCCTTCCCTACAGCCAGCTTTTATTGCCTTAAATAGAGTGAGAAAGAACATTTGAGGGGAAAAATTGCCTGTAGTCTGCATACAGAAGTAAGGGAATGCTATCTAACCCAAGGATGCTGGGAATGATTGATGGCAAAAGAAGGGGACAGCAGAGGCTGAGATGGCTAGCTGGAGTCACTGGGGCAGTGGTGTAGGCTTGGGTGGACTCCGAGGGATGGTGGAGGACAGGAGAGCCTGGAGGAATGTTGTTGTGGGGTTGTGATGTGTTGGGCACAAAAAACTAAACAAAATAATCTGACCCAAGATTCAATAGGGCTAGCATGATGGACATTTGTGACAATGTCCCAGGTTGTTGACAGCAAATGGTGAGATGAGGCATTTTCATTCTCATAGAATTGCCAAAGGCACACTGTGCTAATGGTTCCTTCAGCACACAAAGCACTCAGGAACATCTGAAACAACCAGGGAGAATTCTTGAATTGTTTTCTTTGTTCTCTTTCATTTTACAGGGAGCCATCAAATGTCCATTCCCAGATTGCTCCTGAAAAGCCTACAACCATTCCCATGTGGTCCAACAATGATGTTCGTCCATCGTTTTCAATGAGGACCTTGACATCTAATGGGTTGTGAGTTGTCCACGGTGTGTCTGCAGGTGGCTGGTAAGGCCAATATGGGCATGGAGTGTTCTGCCATGTGTCAGGCAGACATGTTTGGGCACCACTGTTGCAACATTTGCAACTTTGACTTTACGGAGTGCTCGCTTCTCTTGTGCTATGGTTGTCCTTCTGGCTTCAGAATTTGGCAGCCTTGGTGGATCAGCATGTGCCATATCTAATAGTCTTGTGCCAGGGTCTCCCAGGAGGTGGTGTCGATAACCAGGGACTTGAGAGGCTTTCAGCATGTCTTTGTATTGCTTCTTTTGTCCCCTGTGCGATCGCCTTCCTTGAGACAGCTCACCATAGAAGAGCTGTTTGGGGATGTGATGGTCTGGCATCCTTGCAACATGGCCTGACCAGCGTGTCTGGGCTTTCATCAGCAGGGTGTGAACTGATGGCAGGCCTGCTCTGGAGAGGACCTCTGCGTCTGGCACCTTGTCCTGCCACCAGATCCTCAAAAGTCTGTGGAGGCAAGTCGTGTGGAAGTGGTTCAGCTGCCTAGCGTGCCTCCTGTATACTGTCCAAGTCTCACTGGCATACATCAGGGTAGTTAGCGCTACTGCACGGTAGACTTTAAGCTTTGTAGCAAGGCTTATTCCACGGCGGTCCAGCAATTACTCTAGAAATCAACTATCTTGGGTATGCATTCTTAACACTGAGAAGTTGTGGCACTTTTACAGAACTTTGAACAATACACCATTGGCATCTACACTGTAGCAGTCTTCTACCCCTGGAAAAGCCAGAAAGTAAAGCCAGACACTCATCTTAATCCATTCAAAGTGTATGCTGTTGAGGAGCCAGACAAATTCCAGTGAAGCATGTCTGCAAATGAGATTTCCCCAAAGCCACATTATTCTCCCACCCAGATATAATCTTGTTCTAGCATATGTGCAAGAGATGTCATCTAGTTCTCCCTTTGTTTTTAACAGCTGCATGGTAGGCTCAACTAAAGGAGGAAAAAATCCCTTTACTGCATCTCCCCAGCTGAAGAATATTCAGCTACTACTATTTCTACCAGTCAAGCTACTATCAAATATGTAGGAGTCTGCCCATTGAGGGAGTGAGCAGTCCTAGATATTCTTGGATGTTTCCACAAGTGTTACAATCTTATCTTTAAAAATCACCTTATATTTAAATAGATACAATATTGGTAGAAAAGGGTACATTTCAAAAGAAGTTTGAATAATCCAGAAGGTCAATTAATTGAACCCCATCTCAGTTATAGGCAATCTGAGACTACAGGTTGGGATAACAGTGTGGGATTGCAATACTCATAAGCTCCAGCCATCATGACCAACAGACATTGCAAGAATTACAGTCCAAAAGGCCACTAGCTTGCCTATCCTAGCCATATAATATTGCTTCCTCTACAGATCAAACTGCTCAGGGCACAATCCAGTGGGGATGCCCATAGCCTTCCAAATGCAAAGGATCAAAGGCATCCTATGGAGAGCAGGAGAAGTACAGTAGCAAAGCACTCTGCAGTGCTCCTCCCACCATGCAAATCCCTCCAGTGATTGATCTCAACCATCTCAGTACATTACCTTGGAGCAGGAAAGAAAGAAGATGAGATGCCACCAGGACCCTCTATCTGTTGGGACTCCTATGGTCATCTGAACATAATCCAGTGACCACAGATATGCATTTTAAGTTCAGTAAACCACAGCAGAAAGCATGAACAATATGGCTCAGATGGGATTTGAAGCTAATTTTAATCCCGTTAGAGTGATAACATGTAAGATAAGTTTCATTTATTCAGTCATTCGACTTTTAACCCAGCCCATTAGTCACACAGATCCCTTCCCTTTATGAGAGGAAGAAGTAACATCAAAAGTTTGGAGACCGTCATGACAGAATAGAGCTACATTTCATGAGCAAAGGGGCATAAACAAGGTTTTCAAAACTTATAAAATATTATATCTGCATTTTCTTGAACATTTGGAGTCCAGTCAGCCCCCACCCAAACTAGACATTATCCAGAGCAATGTGCATGACATCCCCTGTGGAAGACTTCTTGAGGGACATTCCAGGGCTATCCTTGCATGACACTGGCCAACTGTCTATAGGGTGGAGCACAGGGGTATCACCACACCTTTATGCAAGAACATCACAAAGGCTGAAATTAACACTTCAATGGCCTCTTATGCCAATTGCACATTTGAAAGCTGCTCTCTTCATGGCATCCAACACTACTTGGTTCCTTAGGCTGTATATGAGAGGGTTGATCAGAGGTGTTAGGATGGTGTAAAACACAGACAAGAGTTTGTTCAGCTCTTTTAGTTCATGGTTATCTGGCAAAACGTACACAGTGATGAGAATGCCATAGAAAATGCTCACCACAATGAGATGAGATGAGCAGGTTGAGAAGGCCTTTTGCCTGCCTGAAGCTGAGGGAATTCTAATAATAGCATTTATGATACATCCGTAGGATGCTATTGTTATACTAAATGGTGGCAAGGTACATATGGAGGCCAGGACAGCTGAAAGAAGTTTTACCTGATGTGCATCACTACAGGCAACATTGATCATTGAAATGAAATCACAAAAGAAATGATCAAGCACAGTATGACCACAGAAACGTGTCTGCAATACAAAGATCAACAAGACAGTGTTTATCAGAAAACTGCTCAAATAAGAGCCAGACACCAAGTGAAGGCAAACCTTGGCATTCATGAGGAAAGAGTAATGGAGGGGATGGCATATTGCCACATAGCGATCGTAAGACATGGCTGTCAACAGATAGCATTCCGATGCTATAAGGAAACCAAAAACCCACAACTGTGCAATACAACCACACATCGAAACACTTTGGTTCTTACTGATAAAACTGACCAGCTTTCTGGGCAAGATGGTTGAGCTGTAGCAGGTCTCCAGGACAGACAGATTGCCTAGGAAGAAATACATGGGGGAATGCAGGTGTTGGTCACTCACAACGAGCGTCACAATGAGCAGGTTGCTAGCCATAGTCAAGATGTAGATTAATAGAAACACCATAAAGAGAAGGGTCTGCAGTTCCTGGGAGTCTCCAAAGCTCAGAAGGATGAAATTTGTGATATTGCCTCCATTACTCCCCTCTAGTTTCTTCATGGTCTTTTTCATCTAATGAGAAATATAAATGTGAGTCGTATAACTGTAATAAACATTACAAAACAAATATGAGCACTTGCTCCCTTTTCTTTCCCTCAATTCATATAATTTGGTGGATCTCATCAATATACTTAGAATAAGGGTAGAAATAAATTCTAACTGGCTACCTAAAACATTCATTCACTGCTTTGCTTTTGCCTCATTGTAACTGAGTCACTGGAGAGTGTCTGGCTAAAGCAGTTGCTACAGTGGCTTGTTAGAAGAGTTGGACCTCCACATGCACTGTTTTTGAGTCGGAGGCTGCCTTGTCACTCTCCAATCCCCATTTCTTCTTCCTCAGACTTTTGATGCACCACTTCTAAAAGAGAATGCTGGTGCGATTGGATAAACTATCTGAAACTTCCAGTGGTTATGCTGTCTCTTCATATGGGGTTTATATGGAAGTCCTGTCTTCCTCAAAAATCCTTCAAGGCTGCCTCTTTTAATCACCCTTTTCATGCAATAGTTCCCATTAAATGATGGATAGAAATCACTTCCTAACCCTCCATCTTTGCCTTCCTTTTGATTAGCCCCAGTGGCTTAAGAAGAGTTGCATGAATTCCAGATTCTTTCAATACCAATGAATTGGTATTGGTAGCAGCAGGTAGCAGCTAAGATAATGCTTACTGTGTTTGTGTAAGCTCTGCACTACTTGGCTCATTAATAGAAATTGATTGCCCAGTAATTATAGAGATTGGTTCCCATTGTTGCAGTGAAGCTGTTCCATGTTTCTGTAGGTAAATGCCTTTAATTTCAGTCTGCAGAGAGCTCCAATTGACCAAATAGGAAGGGGCACATAACTTTTTTTTTCTTCATTCATAAGACTCATATACCACTCCCTATATCAGAAGGTTCCCAGAAGAATGAGAGAGAGAAAGAGATATTTTAAAATCAGATTAATACCATGATGGCTGGTCAATCAGAGAAGGTGCTCAACACAAAGTGAGCCTCTTACCCTCAATGCTTATCTCAGGGAGGACTCCAAAAAGACCACAAATCCATGTGAACCCACTAGGAGTACTTCATGACTTTTGTGACCAGGCTGGTTGATAAAAGGGAAGGCATTGAACAAATTATCCTGATCCCAAGTTATTTAGCACTGCTTTACACACTAAATCCTTAAATCTGACCAAGTAGCACCTCTGACCATCTGACTTATTGGAGTTTTTTCAACTGGAGAATCACATGCTGAAAAGGGGCAAGTCCCAACAACAGCCAAGCTGTTGCCCTTTCTACAAGGTACCATTACAAAACACACCTTAAGGGGAGTCCTATATACAGGATGTCACAGTAATCAGCTCATGGATTACTATTACATATACCAATTTGCCCAATTTATCATGACCTAGCAAAGTAAACAGTAGCAAAAAACAAGAAACTGCAAGAAACATAGGAGAGTCTGTCACAGTGCTTCACTCACAAACTGAATCCTTTTCCTCCTTTCCTTCTATTTATTTGGTGGGTACTTAATTAATCACAATATTCATATCCTATTGCTTTAAATGTGTTCACTTGAAATATCATTAGGAGTAGTTCAAATCCAAAAAGTCGGTATCATAGTGGTGAGAATATTCAAGCATTCTCTCAGACTCCCAGACAGTATAAAACATGGAATGCTCACCTCCCACTTTTAATTTTTAGCTAGTAACATCTTAGGATTAAGAAGTTATCAGCAACAGCATTTTGATGGTTATCAAATTTATATTCTATATGTAGACACATAAAGTCTCCACAGTCGAGTTCCTGTATCAGTTATACTAGCAATGGTGAATTTCCTTCAATCCCAATCTTCATATATGGGCATAATTGCTTGAACTGCATGCAAGAAGCAGAAGACACTTCCTTCTTCCTAATTAACCTCATGGGATAATTAGAGTTTGAAAAAACATAGTTTTGAACATCTACTTGAGGAACTGACCTTACAATCACACAATTTCCATGGAATTTCAAAGAGAGGCCAAATGATTTAGAGATCAGTTGACTTCTAGGATGTTCCATACTCCAGTAGTTCCTGGGTACCATTTGTGTGTCCAAGAAGTCATAAATAGATGGTTGAATAAGAAATAATATATGACCAAGGTACTGAATCTCTCAGTATGTAGGTCAGCTGGTGAAATCTTCAAGGATGTGGCTCTTGAAAAGGAACATCCAGAAGAACAGTAATCACTTAACCCACACAACAGTGATAAATAAACCCAGATACACTGCTTGAAACCTCTGCAGTAAACAGCTGTTGGACATCTGTTCTCTGATGAATGAAGCAACCCTCTTCAGCTGTCAACTTAGTTGCTTTGGTATTTTTGAAAATCTAAGGACCTTCTATCTGCTAAGAGAGTATAAACATCAGCATGTATTAATCCAGAATGGTTATTTTTTGCCAGGTGGTTGAGCCCAAACCAGTTTTCAGGTTTGATTGTACTTAGATATTTACTGTGGTGGACAGAGATATAAATCAATACAAGGAGTTGTACATGATCTACATGATTGCAGATGGAAGAAGCAGCCAACACTTACCTGGTCCTAATTAAACTCTTAGGATGTGACTCAGTTTAGTTGAGGACTAAGTGTCCCTTCTGGAGGAATGTGTCCTCAAACACAACTACCAACAATACAGTCATCCAGGTATTAAGGGAACTGGGTTTTCACTGGAACTAGTTATTTTACATTGAAATTCTGCATGCCTCCATCACCAACAGGAATTCTTGATCAAATTTACTGGTGAGAACAGAGGATTTCCTACTCTCTGTTGAAGAGGCCACATGCTCTTCTATGTTTGATGATCATCCAAAAGAGATGAAATGGTAGCTAGAACAGCTGAGCCTCTTACAATGCTGAAGGGGGTAAGACTGCCAAGACTGCACCTATGCAACAGTAATTGGGTGCATTCTCTTTTGCAATCAGTTACAGCAGCATGAAATGCTCACCTCTGGCAATAATTTTGCATTAATTGTGTCCAGGACATCTTGAGCTGCAATGCAAGGCTGTGGAAAACATGGAATACTCACCTCTGTTTTATGATCTATAGTTAGCAAAACCCTGGGATTAAGAACAAGCCTTTTCCTTTGCCACAGAATTCATATTCTTAATTAATGAAGGTCCCTCAGTCATGCTCCTGGGTGAGCAGAAGAAACAACGGTCAATTCTTGATGTTCTGAGCTCAATACAGTAATTGGGGTTTAGTTGCCTCAATGGTGAGCAAGAAGAAGCCAACACTTACGTGGTCCTGATTAACCTCTTAGGATGTGACAGAGTTTAGCTGAGGAATAAGTGTCTCTTCTGGAGGAATGTGTCCTTGTATACAACTTCCAAGAATACTGTCTGAGTGCTTGGGGAGAGAGGCCATGGGAAAAGTGGCGTTTCTCTCACCTCAGTGTCTTTGGCCCAACAGTCCCAAGCCCCCTCCACCTTGTCCCCTTCCTTTTCTGTCCTTGAGTTCAAATCCTTGTGACTCGTGAGTGTGCACGAAGAACACCTGCCACCCCCATTCACAGCAACATCTGTGTTAAGGCACTGATTGTGCAGCTCCCCAGTCACCACCTCTTTGTGCCCTTCATTCCCAGGTTTTGATCTCTCCCTGCCCCACACACAAGCACACACCCTTTGAAGAGCAGACAGTAGACCCTTCACTCCAGATTTCTGAATTTCCAGATAGCTGTATAGTAAAGTAAACACACTTTAGATTAATGTAAGCTTCATAGCAACTCCTTTTAATGACAAACAGGCTTTGTTACAGATAGTATGCAGGTTCACTGTATTTGCATCTCACTCTTCCTTGGGGACTGCTGACCAGAGAACCTAGAGCTTCCTGTTTATCTCTACACCATTAGACTAAGCATCTTGGGGTTCAGAGAGGAACCCAAACCAGCGGAACCCATTGCCTTTCTTCTCATGGAACTGGGGAAAGGTTTGTGACAAAGTTTGGAGACGAGAGGGCAAAGGACTCATATGGAGACTGCCCATTTGCTGGCTGCTTTCTTCAGAGCAATATGTACATCCTTGTTCCTCAGGCTGTATATGAGGGGATTAACCAGCGGTGTCAGGATGGTATAAAACACAGACAAGACTTTGTTCAGCTCTCTCAGCTCATTGGTGTCTGGCAAAACATACACAACAGTGAGGGTACCAAAGAAAACAGTCACCACAGTGAGATGGGAAGAGCAGGTAGAAAAAGCTTTTTGCCTCCCTGTGCTGGATGATATCCTGAAAATGGCGGCTATGATGCATCCATAGGATCCTACAGTTAGAATGAATGGTGGCAGGATGGAGAAGGAGGATGTAAAAGTGGACAGAAGTTTCACCTGTTGTCCAAAACTGTAACTGCAAGTCAGTTTCATCATGGGCGCAAAATCACAAAAGAAATGATCGATGACATTGTGGCCACAGAAGGTTAACTGCAAGATGGCACTTAACAAAGTTATGTTAATCATCAAACTAGTGAACCAAGATCCAGCCATCAGCTGCAGATAAACCCTAATGTTCATGAGGACCGAGTAATGCAGCGGCCTGCATACCGCCACATAGCGATCGTAGGACATTGCTGCCAGGAGGTAGCATTCTGTTACGGCTAAGAAACTGAAAGTAGACAATTGCATAATGCACCCATGGACAGGAACACTTTGATCGTCAGTTAATAAGCTGACCAAGATTCTGGGAATGATGGTTGTGCTGTAGCAGATTGCTAAGAAGGACAGGTTCCCAAGAAAGAAGTACATGGGGATGTGTAAATGTCGATCAGTCACCACTATGGCAATTATGAGGAGGTTCTCAGTCATAGTCATGATGTAGATAATTAGAAAGAGCAGGAAGATAAGGATCTGTAGCTCTTGCAGCTCCCCAAATCCTAGAAGGATGAATTCTGTGATGATGCTTTCATTTCTCCACTCCATTCTCCGTATCCCGTGCATCTGTTGGAATAACAATCAATTGTTATTCCAATGGATTAATAATGCAAGATCTGTTGGAATATCAATCCATGAAATCAGCATTAAAAGATGCTCATCTCATTCCAGTTACTGCTGACTCAATATCCCCCGATTTCTTTGGGTTCTCATAAACTACCAGGATGAGACTGCAATGGTGTGGTAGAACCCTGCTCTGTGCATGGCAGAGGCAACAAGCAAATTCTGTGTCCCCTTCCCTTTTGCCCCTTTCTTCCTGTGCCCTTATCCCACATCACCAGGTGGACATCTTTTTCCCTCTCTCATCTCCATAAGAGTATTCTTAACACACTCGAGGTATCAGGCACCTGAGGTCCCAAATACCTCCGGTACTTAAAGTACTGTGGATCTTGACTATGAGATATGGGCTGGATAACTCAAAGAAGAGATCCCAACATTTTGAATTTTGCTCAGTAAAAGTGCCCATAGGATAATCGTTTAAAATCTGAATGAAATACAAACATCACACACATAACAAATTAACTAGTAATAAACACATTCCCCTAATCTATCAAGAATGTGTTTCATATCAAGAATGTGTTTCTATTTTATTTTTTATCTAATCCAAGAAAAACAGGGCCATCATAAGTCAGCTTCTCCACTTTTAACATCTTTGCTCCATTTTTTCTGTATGCCTCTGGGTTTGTATGACTCTTTCTTCCACTGTATGATTTCTTTCCTTCCTTCTTCCTTCCCCGTCTTTCTGTTTTCAGCTTTTGACCACAACATTAGTTATATTTCTCCAATCCTCCAGCCTACCAGAAAGGTAGCTTCTGCTCCATTTCTGGACCAAAATCCATTTCCTAAGGCCTTCTCCTACTCTTCAGTTGAGCCTCATGTAAATCTTACTTTTCCTTCTCAGATTCAGTTGAGCATTTGACATTTTGCCAGGTATTAACCAGTACTCTCACACACGCATGCACTTTTTGCCTAAAATGCAACTCAGTTGAAAATGTGGAATACCTACTTCTGCTTTAGGAACTGTAGCCAAGAGCAGAATACAGTTAAGATTCCACCTCTTTGAATTAATAAAATTAACACTTTTTACCTGGTGAAATGAAGGCTTCTCACTGATTCTCCTGGATCCTTTGTAACAAAAATGTCTGATTCTCTTTCATGCCCCAGATTTTTTATCTGGGTGTGAAATTGCTTCAGATGAAAACAAGTGGCACCAGGAGCCAGTCACTTCCCCCTAATTAACCTCTTGGGATAGGCTTGATTGTAGTTAAAATAAACAGTGTTGACTATCTTTGAGGAAGGTCTTCTCTAGTACAACTTCCAATGAAGTTCAGTTTCAATGAAAGATGAAGGGGTTTGCTATTGTCTACTTTAAAAATGAGATCAGCCAAATTGGTTAAGGGCTTCATCCCACTCACTTGCTTTTTCCCAGAAAATAAGTTGAGAGCACTACCCAGTGGTTGCATCTGCTGGTGCAAATATTGCTGAACTAGGTGAAACAAGAGAAAATTCTCACTAAACTATTATTTGTGCGAGTGTGGTTCAGCAATAGGTTGGGAAAACATACCACACAAATGTTTGTACAGTGGGAAGATGTAACCTTATCTATGATTGATGAATGACACATATCAAAATTCAAGGAAACATTCTCCAGAAGAACTATGTCAGAAGGCTTTTTCATGCCAGCCATGGATCCTTCTCTTTCATCTATGGATTCACCTTTATCTTGTCAGAAGGTCTATAGAGCAAGCATCAACTGTAACACTGCTAGGATGCAGTTCATCAAGCAACTGGGCAACATTCTAATGAAAAATGAAATGTAATGAAAAACAGTTAAAACAAAATCAGGTAGAAAGGCAAATGGGAATGTAAAGATTCACCCTGTAGAAAATGTGAATGGTTTTATCCATGTTGAGCTCCTGTAATAGCTTCTCCTTTTGCAAGGCTGATTTCTGACCTTGAAGAAACAGCCAGCAGAATTTTCTCATCCCCGTCTGCAGGGGATTAAGGTGGTGCAGGCTGCAGCAATAAAACATTCTATGGATCCCCAGACAATGTCAGGAGTCCATAGGATTTCACCCTACCAAGCTTAATCAATCTTTTATTGGATTCAGTGCAGTTTAATTACCAGAACATTTCTGAAATTGCTGATTATCTGAGTTTGAAAGTACACCCACTAGATAAAATGTTAGTCTGTGGCAAGGAAAACCACTGCAATGTGGCAATGGAAATGAACTGAATCATTTCTCTGTCCATGTTTCTCATTCAAGCATAGGAAATAGGACTGCCAATCTGCAATACAGGAATCAACAGGCATAATACCAGTTAAATGGCTTGACAATGGCATTTCCAAAGCAATCTGAATATTAATTCTAAGCCTACACTTTCTGGCCTATTTTAGAGTATCTGACATTTTAGAGGAAAAGTCATGATATTAACAGTCCATAGCTCCAGAAGAAAGTAGGAGTAAGAAAAACTTAGTCTTGCTTAAGAGCATTTAATATTTCTGAAGAAATACTTCTTCATAACTTTATTTATTTATTTATTTATTTTTAAAAACATTACTACCCCATCCTTCCCAATAAAACGTCTCAGGACGGCTTACAATATTTAAAAATTGCCTCTTTGCCGCCCTCACCACCACAGCATAGGCTCAATAATGAGCACTTAAGTGCGTTCAGTCAGTCATCCCATGATTTCCTCCACCTGTGCCCTAATCATCTCCCAGCCTGCTTCATTGTCTGCAACTCAGGCATATACCATGGAGCCAAGTGGGCTATGCTAGATGGGAGAGGATGCTTAGGAGTGATTGTGTTGATTGCTCTGATCATTTCCCCATTCCACAAATTGACCAGGGCATCAACAGGTGTGCCAGCTTCATCCACTGGAAAATCCCCCAGAGCCATCAGGAATCCAACTGGATCAATAAGACTCTGGGGGTGGACCATCTTAATGGGATCCACACCCTTCCAGAGGGAGAGATCAGACTCAAGCTCAAACCTCATGAGGAAGTGATCTGAACATGACAAAGTAATTAAGATCAGATTCCTCAGTTCCAGATCACCCTCTTCCTGCCCTGTTGGGAAAACCAGGTCCAGAGTGCGATCTTTTTCATGGGTTGGGCCAATGACATGTTGAAGTGAGAAAGCCCTGAGCCACCCTGGTCAGAACAGCCTTGGCATGGATTGAAGTCCCCCAGGACCAACACCCTGAGGGTCCTCAATACCAGGTCCGAGTTGATCTCCGTCAGCTCAAGCAGGGAGTCTGATGGGCAGGAGGGTGCATGGTACACCAGCAGAATCCCTAATCTGTCTCGGTCACCCAGTGCCAGGTGCAAACACTCTAGGCCCAGTCTTGAAGGAACAGGAAGTCCTGTAAGGGCGATTGAGTCTCAGTAAACCAGGGATACCCCCACTCCCTTTCCCTCTGGGTGTGGCTGGTGCTGCATCAGATATGTGGACGGACATAGTTGAGAGAGGGAAACATCTCCCCCTTCTCCCACCCAGGTCTCTGTAATACATGCCAGGTCAGCCCCCTTATCCACAATTAAGTTGTGGATGAGAAATGTTTTTTTATGGACCAATCTGGCATTCAATAGCAGCACCGTCAGGCCCAGGAACCTTCCAGTTGGGGGAATAACCAGGAGAGGGGCCAGATATCAAACATCAGTCCCTCCTTCTTCTTTGCTGACATGTTAGACCAATGCCATATCTTCCCCTGCCCATCGTCTCCCCAATGGTGTTTCCCACACAGTCCCCAGGGACTCCCATCCTAGATTAAAACCCAAGGCAATAAAACAGTCACCAAAAACAAAACAAAACCTTTGAGGAACAGGAGTTTCAGACAGGTTTATTCTATAGGTTATGGACAAAGTCAAAAGAGAGGCAATGACAGAGTAGTTCGATCCATCTTAAGGGTTTTGATACACCTGAGGAATGCTTGGTCTTGAAGCATCTCAATGGGAGGATTTCTATATTAATTCAGAAGGCCACAGCAAATAATTCAAGGAAATACTGTATTTGCATCAGGAAACAACCATGAGAAGTTCCCAAAGTATCAACATTTTCCACTGAGAGGGAAAGAAATGAGGAAAGAAACAGAATCTGCCAAGTTAATAACCCTAATAACACAATCACAACATAAAAAAGTGAATAGATAAACACAAGCAACAGAATATATACTGTATTAAGTATGTTAAAGGCAAAGATTTTTTTATTGACTATAATGAGTGGGGTTAAATAAAGAAATGTCTATCATATATTTGAAAAGGCAGTGGAGTCTAGTCAGCCAGTAAATTACAAGTAAAACATCCTTCACTCTGCTCAAAAGAAATGACCTCTGCTGTTTTTAGTTGTTGATCATTCTTCATGACTCCCCTTTTCAGATCAAGGTGAAAAGTTTGGAACAATGAGGTAGGATGGCCAGTTGGTGCTGTTTTTGTAATACAGAGTGAGTAATGTAAAAAACATTAACAAGAAGCACCTATTACAATGTCTGCCACCCTCCCATCACCCATCAGATCAGGGATGGTTTCAGTATTTGTTCTCTACGTGGAAATGCGGTATTTTGGAAGAAGTGAGCCTAGTTCCTAAAGGCATTCTGTTTTTCTCATCTTCCTGTGAGGACTTATTCCTGGAGAAGAAGCTGTGGCATCTGATGGAACATGGCTTTCAGTACCACTTTTCTCCAGCCTTGGGGATTTTGAAAGCTCCTTGTGACCCATCTGTTTACTGAAAGCAAACATTACTTGGCCACCAGTGGCAACAAGGCAAATGCTTCTGACAGAGTTTCTCCTTGATTAATGCTAATTTACATTTATCCACCTCGGCATATATGTACACAAAATTAATGAGAGGTTATCTATGGTCAAACAAACAAAATTGCATGAATTGAGCCAGTTATTAAGGGCTATTCACCTGCTAAGATTGAATATCAGATAGATGCAGTGAATTATTCCCAAAGCAATGCTGACGTGGGCAACATTTAGGCTTGTTGCGATTGGGTACCCACAATGTGCTTTATCTCCTCCAGTATCTTTTGCTGGACAGTTATGACATTATTCTTTGCTGCAGTGAGTAGTTTTTCAATTTCTTCATCAGAATAATGCAACTTGAAGGTCGAAAATGTCTGATGATATTCAGCAATTTTATCTGAAAATGAGGCACAGGATTTGGTGAATATACAGCAATCCATTACTACTGTGTCATGGCACAGTTCAATTCTATGTGGTTCTCCTTGGATGTAAGTCTTGGTCATAAGTAAATCACAAGTCACAACTGTTTTATTCTCACACAAGGGAAACCACCATTTCATGTGCTTCTCACTTCACTAGGCAATGAACAATAATGCATTTCAAAGCTCTGAACTGTGGACACAATTGCTTCCACAAATCACCTGCTGGGTATATCCTTGCAGCCAGGTCTCAAAGCAATGCAGCTTCATGCGTTCCTAATGGGTTGACTCTATCTGCCTTCCATGGAAGGATGAGGTTCTGACTGTGAAAGTGTTCCGTCCATGTGCACACACAAACATGCACACCAGAGCCCAGCCTATTCATAGGATTTTCTAACTTTCTGTGATAATTTTTTACATGCTGCCATCAGAAGAAGAGAATGGAGGTCCACCTGGGACTCAGCATATAAATAGAAGATGTACACTTGACTATACATGTCTTTCCTGAAGAGAAGGTGAGAGAAGAATATGTTGACAATTCTTGAAAGATACAAAAGTGAGAAAGGGAGTAGGAACACATATAGCATCCATGTAAAACTCACTATAAAATACAGTGAGAGCAATTTTGGGTAAACATGAGGAAGAAGGTGATTGGAACAATTCAGCAATGACAGTATTGGTACCATTTCAATAACCCTAATTACTGAATCATAGAATCATAGAGTTAGAAGGGGCCATGAAGAGCCTTGAGTCCAACCCCCTTCTGTTGCAGGGTCCTCCATTACACTATCCCACTCAGATGGCTGATGATCAGATAACTAGTGTCCAAAATTACCCATATGAGGCCCCCAAGTTACCTTGGCAGTTGACTATGTTGAACAGAGGAAAGTGCATGACAGTGAGGTCATCTGCTCTGAAGATATAGCAATTGGATGGATTGTCTTTGTCTTGCAGTTCACGCTCATTGATCCTGGGAAATTTGATTCCACGAATTTTACAGTATTCAGCAGCTTTTTTGACGGTCTATAAAAAAAAGGATGCAGAAAATCTTGTGGCTGAGGGAACTGGGGGAAAAAATATCTGCCACTTGGCTGGTTGAAAAGGACACCTGTGTTGCATTTGGAGGCACTTCCAAGCTCATCTCAGCAGCCTATGAAGTCTCACAAAATTTCTCCCTCCCTTCTCCTGTTGATGTCAGAATTTCAGTGTCTGTGAAAAGCAACTTACTTTGCCATGTCACTCTAACCCCTTGTGAACTGAGATAAGGAAGGAGCAGTGCCACAGATATTTTCACAGAAGCAGAGAATTCTGGCATCAGAAGAAGAACCATACTTCAGTGGCTAAAAAACTGCTGAGATAAGGTCAGAGGAGAGCTCCCTTAGATATGCAGTATTGTTCCAACTATCTATTCTAAACTCATATTGATAACTAGATCAAGGATTGTGCAACATGTTCAACAGCCCTTTAAGGAAATGCATTGCCTGAAAGGGATCCCTCACCATGACCAATTTAAGCCTCATCCACTTCAGTGGGTCTACTCTGCAAAGGATTAACATTAGCTATTACTCCAAAATGCTTCTAGGATAGCTTTGTCCACAGCACCAGTCTAAGCTTGCATGTCACAGAGCCATATGAACTTCCTTGGTAGCTACTCTTTCCCCAGTTAGATAAGCAGAAATAAAGTTGGTAGGTCACAGGAAGACAAGCTGCTGCTGTCCATACATTTTGAACAACAACCTCCATCAGCCTCAGCCGGCATAGGCATTGTATCCCATTCTAACCCCCTGTTGAAAGGCAGCCGTAGGAAGGCCACAAGGCATGTCAGCCTCATATGCCAACCTTTTAATTGCATGCTTTACCTCAAAGGGATCCCCAGCACTGAAGTCAAAGGAGAGGATCAGCTTCACTTTTCTATCCGGGTGGAGGGCAAGAGGATAAGCAGTATTGATGGCCAGCCCAGCATCAATGAGAGAAACAATCTGCTTTGTTTTCAGCTCTGGGACTTCCACACCAGCTAATGACATGAAGTGAAGTAGGACTTAAACAAAACTGTACAAAATTTAGGATTTTTTTTTTTTTTGGTGCCAATGAAAAACTCTGTTGGAGCAGCCTGTGCAGCAGAACTAACACTTTTAGTCTGAGAGACAAAGACTTGTGTTTCTTTATGGAAATGCTCTTTGGAAAACTAATGCTCATCCCAGAGTTCAGGTGAATTTCATAATAATCAGGGACATTGATCCCAAGGAGGGTGGGAGTCAGAGCACTTGGCTGGATTTTAGAAGCCCAAAATACATGCAAGTGTGAAGTTCACTTTCATGCATCATTGCAAAACCAGTTAAGGCAGCCAGCTCTTTTGTGAATTTGCAAGATCAATGGGGCTTTGAGGGGAAAAGTCATGAGTATGAAATAATCAAATGCTGAAGTAAGTATTACATGAATATTACAATTCATGTCCACACTGGTCCTTCAAAATCTGTATCCACAATGGCCCTTTGGCTTGAAAGCATAGTATCAACTAAGTAAGACTTTTACTGGAACTGACCAATGTTTTGCAGACTAGTAAGGACTCTTCTTCAGGTTGGTGCTATGTTAAAAAAAAACTAGTAAAAGAAGGAAATGTTTAGAGGAATGATATAAAAATGTTGCAGTGTGGAGAGCATGGTGTAATTTCAAAGGCATTGAAAACATGTGCTCAGAATTAAAATACACTTTTCTTTCATGACTTCTATGTGTGTGCTGGGAGAATGGTACAGGTTTGTACAAATGAATCCAAGCTCTGTTCTAGATATATCTAGGCTGCTTTGGAATCCTAGCAGAACAACATGCCATTTCAGGTCCTAAGTATTCAAAGGTACTCTGTATTTCAGAAGCAACATTAAGAAGCATCAGAAGCTTACGGCAGTTCTGTAAGAAGTTACTGGTGCTTCCCCAGGTCCATGTCAGAATGTTTGAATTGGTCTTGTGGATGTGTCTGATCCAATCTAAAAAAAGGAGGTTCAAAGCTGAGAATGAGAGACAAGAATTTCCTAAAATTCCTTTCTGCTTCTGCCTCTAATATAACAATTTTAACTAGGGTTCCATACTTCATGAATTATCATTTAACTAAGATTATTTATACAAGTAATTAATCATTTCCATATTGGAGTATGTGCAGTTCATCTTAACTTTCAGTTCTTTGTGTCATTTACATTTTTCCCTTCTAATGGCTTTTTAGATTCATTTTTAGATTCATTTAATGCCCAAGTGGTACTTGAATTCAGACATGTGTGATCCAAGTCCAAGTTTCTATCCTATTGAAAAGCTCTTGATAGAGGCAAAGACAATCTTTAGTATTAATATTCTGATACTTGCCTTTAATTGGTTGAAAAGGGCTGTAAGGAGGAGTCACCAAGTATTTTTCTACTGGTTCTAAAACTAAAAAAAAAAAAAAGCACACTGAGAAATATAAAACTCCAAATCAGGTAACTAGCAGGGAGCAAAACCATGCATTTTAACTCTTTACATTAATTCTCCTTTGTTCACATCAGAAATAGCCCTTTTCAGCAAAAGATAGTAACATGAAAAGTAATACTAACATTAACTTTCTGTGTTGTTTCGTTCAATGAAACTCATAATATGATATCAAGATATAAGTGCCTTGATCCCATTTACTTGATTTAAGCCAGAAAATGCAAAATGTATTGTATCCCAACTTTTTACCTAGACATTTAAAATAAGATACCCCGGTGGCCTTTCTACACAAATGCAGAATCACTGAGAAAACACAAATCTGATCATCTCTGAGCAGATTCAAAAATCACTTGCTCTCATGGAAGTTACATTAGTGATCTGGAACTTCCATATGAAGAACCTCTGGATCAGGTGGAAATAGTGTTATCCTCCGTACAATTATGCACAGATAATTGGCAGTACCTGAACTCCTGATCTGAACTCAGCAATTCTGCATGCCCCATGATGGTTCTCTGCTGCCCGTATCTGTAACCAAGTCTATGAAAAGGTTTTCTCCCAACTAAGTCCTACCGTGGACCCCACAGTTCTGTGCTGATGGTTCCCTTTCCTTCTCTGTGGATTGCCTGCAATCCTGCCAGGATTTACCACCACCATTATTTATGTATATTTTTATTTGCATACCATCCAATAGCCTAAGCTCTCTAGGTAGTGACTAGTAATTAATAAAGACAAAAATACAAGAGAAAAATAAACAGTATGAACATCATAAAAGTTCATTAAAAAACATAAAGCTTCATTTTTAACAATGCAAATTTAAAAAACCATTCCATATTATTAAGCTTCCTAAAAAGAAGAAAATCAGCTGGCAATACCACCCCCTACACACCTCCAAGTACTATTTGAAGTTGAAAGATGCTTCAGAATTCTCTACTAGAAGAATTGATTGCAAAATAACAAGGAGAGAAGCTGTCCTGATGCCCTGATACAGACCTAGATGGATTAGGGAATAACAACTAGTAGAGAAAGCAAGAAATAGACCACCATGGTACTTGCCTCCAAAATCCTTGTCTAAAGCTTCCCATAGCTTCCGACATGCTTCCTCTCTTGTTTTTATATCCCCAGATGACCAGTTCTGACGCATCTCTTTCAGGACCCCATAACTTTTACCAGTTTTGTGGACTTCATAAAAGATAACAAGGTGTGGCAGATTAAGGCAGGATAAAAAACGAGACAACACAGATAAAGAAGTGAAAGGTAAGCATGAAATCAGGAGAAACAAAGATACATTTCCCTAATGAAATTGATGTTAGCTTACTATCTTCTAAGATAGCTTTCATTTTGCTTAACTCAGTAGTTGACAGAAAATGAAGTAAATCAAGTTCTCCTAAAGTATCCTTAATCAGATTAAATGGTAGATTAATTGAATGAAACATTTGTTGATTAACTTGTGAGAACAAATTTTGGGATATTATCAAAATGTAGAAAAATGGGGCCATGTCATCTGTCTCCAAGAAGCTGATATGCTATCCACAATTAGTGGAAAATGCTCTGTGCTATGAATAACATTGTACACCTTTGGTTAGTTAAATTCTAGTTTCAATGCCAGATTAGACTGGCTTGAAATTAAGGTAAGCTATTTATTGCAAAATCACAACATACATAGATTCAGTAATTCACAATTCTTAGTAGTACTTAGAAGGTTTGGCCTAAACTCCAAATTTCCCAAGTTCCAATTTCTGAAACAGACTTCTAGTAATTTGATACATATATTTTTTTTTTCAAACCTGCTTGGAATGAGTACCTAGAATAAGATGTGAATGATCTCCAAAACTCACTCCCTATGCAAAAGTCTCCTATCCCTTAGTATGGGTGGGAATCATACAATTTATTAAATGAGATTTGTTTATTTGGGTAATAGCTTTCATAAAATGAGTATACAAGTGGGTTCAGGTGTATAAATGGAGGATTCTGGATTTTTGGTCTTCAGAATGTGGGTTATGTGGGTTCAGAATGACACATGTGGCACATTTAATATGTTGATGGTTGCAATACAAAATGACAGACTAGTGATGAGCAGGATCAGTGCTGGCAATACCCACAAAAAAAGAAAAAGTTGATAAAGAATCAACTAGAGGAACTACACTCCATCTCTTGCTTCTCGTTTAAAGTATCAAACCCAAATCGCTAATGGAGAATGTTACCAACTGATGCCTGTTCAGTAATTCATTTCTGAAGGGACATAGTGCTTCCAGGACAAAAGGACATCTATTTCCCAAACTTCAATTACCTTTCAGAAGATTTTCTAGAAGGTCAAAGAATCCCTCTGCCTTTGCTGCTGTAACATCTAATGCACACAGCTGCAGCTCCAGAATATACTGATAAATCAGGCTGAGCATATTAAGGTTGCGGTAAACTTGAGAATGAAACACAGAAGAAAAAATGTTACAAAGACTTTAGTGAGAATTCAGTTCAATTCCTCTGTGAAAATATTTTACCAAGTTTTACAAACTTCTTCATAATTAGGATGGGGAAAATGGAGTATTGGGTTTGTTTGTTTTTGAGGAAATTGTATTTACTAATGTATTTATTTCTGAGATTTCTGTACTGCTGTATATCCCAATATTATTTACAGCAGAAAACTCTAAAAAAAGAAAACAAATAAAACCAAATACAATGTTGGTCCTAAAGAACCATGGAGTTCCACACAAGTGGAGCCACTACATCAAAGACTCTTTTCCTGGTAAGTTCCCATTGGTCCATGTGGAATCACACGCTGTCCAATTACCTCAGTGTCTGAGCAAGTTATTAAGGGAGAAGGTGCTTCCTCAGGTATCCTGGTTTGGTGTTTTCTGCTCTTGAACCAACCTTAAACCTGTCTTGGTACCAAACAGGCAGCCCAAGAACTTCCCTCTGCGAGAGAGTAGCATGCATACAAGGCCATGCCTAGCAGCAGTTGGGCTCCTCCATTCCGCACTAGCTTAAGTCTCCAGAACAGCCCCATGGAGAGTGCATTGAAATTACTTATTTATTTAAAACTTTTCTATACTGCCCAATCACAGACGTCTCAGGACGGTTTACAACAGATTAATACACTAAAATAAAAATAGAAATAAGAGTAACAGTTGCACAACATCCAATGTTAAAATATAGAACCACTAAATAATACATGTTAACAATCAAAATACTGGGAGAATAAAAAGGGTTTCACCTGACGCCAAAAGGAAAGAAGCATTGGTGCCAGGCGAACCCCTCTGGGGAGCATGTTCCACAATTGGGGCACCACCACAGAGAAAGTCCTCCTCTAGGAAGTCACCGTTACGATTTCTTTCAAGGATGGCTCCTGGAGGAGGATCTCTGACTCAGATCTCACGGGACGAGAAGGCACTCCTTCAGGTATCCAAGACCCAAGTCTGTAATCCAGTCTTGAGCTTACTAGCACCTGTAACTCTCCTCCCAAGCTATCTCTGTGCATGTCCATTTAAAAAGCAAATGTGGGAGAAATGAAAACTGACAGATTTGTCCATCCAGGCCCTGGATTTACTGGGTTTGAATTCCTCTGTATTCAGCCAAATGTCTTCTACTGCCATCCCTTTTTCCTCCCCTGACAGTTTCTTATCTTTAGAGCAACATGATAGGCAGGTACAAAACACTCCTCTTGGGATTATAGATACACCTGGGAATGGTAGGAATAGTGATGCCGCTGAAAAGACTGGATGAGAGAAATGAGTGTTTCATTTTGGTTCATTTTTATGAGAATATATGAAAATTCCTACTTTTTTCATATGTGGCCGGGATGGGCAACCTGTATTTCTCCAGATGTGTTGGCCTATGCCTCCCATCAAGCTTCAGCACAGGCCATGCTGGCTCGGGTTGATGGAAGTTGTGCCCCCCGCCCCCCCCGCAAATATTTTGCCTTACAAGTTACACATTTCTGAGATGGGGAGAAAGAAAATATGGACCTTTAAAAGGAAACAAAAGAATGTAGGACATAATGAAATGGGTGTCCCTCCCCAACAAAGACCAAGCTAATCCAACCTTATTCCACTATCTACATGGGCCATTTTGTTCAAATATCCAGGCCTTGTCCCCCACCTTACCCACACACTGAAACCTTGGGCCAAAGCTTTTACCATATTTGATCCATGATTAGTGGTTCAGGAGTTGGAAGGGGAACTGAGAAACCCAGTTTCAAGTCCCTACTGAGCCATGAATCTCATCACATGACTTTGGGCAGGTCACTCTGACTTGAAACTGTTGTTGCAAGGATGAAATGGAGCGAAGGAAGACTTTGCAAAACACCTTGGTTTCCTTGCAAGAGGAAAACTAAGGCACAAAAGAATTGCAATAATGACTGGCTGTCCATGGGGCCTCTCTGGTGTGTATTGGAGAGAAAAGGGTGAGTCAATTATGCGGCTGGTTTGAAAGACACTTCCAAAGCAGTTGAGAGTTTATGGAAATGTCCAAGATCACAGGATCAAAAAGAGATTGGGACAGCATGGGGGAGAGATATTAAATTACCCCACTGTTATGACTTACCTAAGTCCTGTGGTGAAGAAGAAGAAGAAGAAAAATATTCTTCTCGGTCTTGTTTTAGTAAATCCAGTAAAGCACCTTGAAAGAGAAATGCATACATTCAGACACACAGAAGTCTACTTTCTCATATCCAATATGGTCAAATAGCTACCAATATCCAGATTACCAAAAATGGATTTAGTTTTGCCAAAACTCATTTAGATTTGCCTAACTAGGGCAAAAGATAATGCCATAAACACTAGTCATCCATTGGGTTCTATCTCTCAGGAAAATGGTGGAGCCAGGAGAAGACAACCTCACCTGTTCTGAGGAACAAAGAAGGAGACACCTAAAGTCAGTCTCCCCACACACCAGGAGGGCAAGGAGAATTGACAAAGCTGGACTGGGTGTGCCAATTACATCCAGAGGTATCATGTGGGAACAAAATCCCATCTGTGTATAAACATGACCCTTCCAGGTTGACAGTAATGCAACAACACCATTCCCTTTCTTCCCACTTCTCCCTCCAGGGATTGCCAGCTCTCCTGGGATCTTGTCTATTCCATGCACACAAGGCCAGCAGTCCTTAGGAGACAAGCTGCAAAAGTTCTCCTTGACCCCACACTTTTTCCTGATTTCTGATCTCAGACTAAATGCAGAGGGAGGGTGAAGCAATACCAATTACAGCCTTCTTAATTTCCTGTTCACTTGCAAGAGCACTTCCCCATAAACCTGAAAATAAGGAAGAAATGGCAATTAGTCCTCACCATTTATTTTCATACCATTGAAAAGATTATACCTTTAACAACAGATACATTATCTTCTCTCTGGTCATCAGCATCCCCCCCCCCCCCGCAGTCTTTAATTGAGGTGCCTCAAGTAGGAATATATGGATGTCATTAAATTTGTTCCACCTATATTTCAAGGATGGTTGGGAACCTTACATTGCATCATCCATTCATTGATACAATTTGATTATTGTTTTAGGTACCAAGATTTCCATTCCACTTACACAAATGCGTATTTGTGCATTAGTGCTGAAGTGGCTTACTGAAAGTGTGCTTTAGTACTAATACACTTAGAATGAGAGCATATTTGCATAGATGTCCTCCTACCCACCCCCCACACCAAAAAAAGCAGCCTGCAATTTCATGGGATCTGTGGGATTCCGGAAAAAAATGGTTCACCCCAGGTCATACGTATAGAATTCCAAACTCATTTGAACTCATTGTGGATTTCTTTGTTATCCCTTATCCCAGGGATCTTTGCTATATCCCTTTCCCATTATCAGTTGGGCACGTTCCTATACTCAGGCCTCTAACGTAATCCATAAGCGTACATTGTATATTTAATGCATAGGTAAACATAGATTTTAATGCAGTCTTGATGTATTTTAAAGCTATAATCCAAAATACAGTTGTTAGCAGAGGAAGATGGTGGCTCTAATATTAGTGGGATGGTGTATCCATGCAGGGTTTCAGCCTGAACTTTAAAGGAGCTATCAATGACTTACTTCTGACTGAATATACACAGGGCTGCACTGTTAAACTTTAATAACACATCCTATCTTCCAATTGGTCAATCATGCAAACACGGCTTGGAAAAGTTTCCTAACTGAAACCCTTTTATCTGAAAAGCTACATGCCAGTTCATGTAGGCAATAATGCACTAATGGACTGATGATCTGATTTGATATGAAAAACAACTTTTAAATTTTCTCTTTGGATGTGTTATCGTGCTGGGATTTTGATTCTGAGAGTCAAAATGGGGTTGATGCACCTTGAAGATAACAAACATTTCTCTCCTTCCTCTCCTCACTCAGCTGCCCATGGTCAAAGATGCTCCCAAATTGTTTGATGTCAACATATGCTGTTGTGCCAGGTTCCCCAGCTGTGCCAGGAGCTCCGGCACCAAATGGGTTAAATTCAAACCAGCTCCCTAGAAAAGAAAAAAAAGGAGAAAATCAGTATGTGGAATAAAAGAATACAGTATTAATGAGAACAGAATGACCAAGAAACAAATTAACAAAGCAGGATGAAGACTGATCTGCCAGCAAATCCATCAGGAAAAGTTCTGAAAAAAAAAATCAAAAGTATTTCCAGTAAGCGCAAGGAAACTAGCTGACTGGGGAGGATTGTGTGAACCTCTAATGGTTCAAAAAGCAGATACAAAGAACTGTAATGTACAGACACACTGAAATATGAGCACATCAGTGTACAGTGGTCTTGGCTTCTCTCCATTTCTCATTTTTCCAGTCTTAAATTCAGGTCATCCTAACCTTTGAGAATGTCTTTTTTTTTAATTACATGTAAACTTGCTTTTTAAATGTGCACTCCCTCGATACATAAATTCCAACTTGATTTTTCTGGCCATTTTTCAAAACATGCATTTTTATTTGGTTTTCATGATTATATATTATCATTACATTGCATTTATACCCCACTTTTTTTGCAAATAGGAGAGAAAGGAGAGAAATATTTACTATCTTGCAAACTTACATAGTCTCTCTTCATTCCATTAACCTCACAACACTCCTTTATGAGGTGGATTTGACTAAGAGTGAGAGACTGGTCCAAAGTCATCCAGTGGGCACCTGGCTGAGTAGGAACTATAACCCAGATCTCCCAAGTCTCCAGTCCAGCCCTCCGACTATCACTCTGCACTGACTCTTGAAATGCATATAATTGTATGCATTTTTATGTGCACTTCCACATAAGGTGTGTGTTGGTTTGTCATTTATTCTCAGTCTAATTACTTCCTCATCCCTATTTGGGCCTCCCATGAGTGAGTAAGCTTTTAACTTCCAGCTGCAGTTGACCCAGTGGTAACTCTTCTACTGGGAAAAGTAATAGTTTCATGAGCTGCCACCCAGAAAGGATTGGTTTGGGCCATTAAACAAGCTTCCCAACCAAGTCTAACCTCCAAGCCATTCAGGTGTGAACTGGAGAGAGCTGAAGCACTTTTTAGCTCTCCCAGAGGCATGTGGAAGAAGGAATCTTGGGTGACAGGTAGCGTCTAAGGTGTTCCTCTGGATAACCTTGGTCTAGAACTGTTTGGGGCTTCATAGGTTAAAGCTTGCACTTTGGATTTATTCTATATCGGGAAATAAACTAGAATGAGAATGTGCAATCATGTGAGCTATAATATAATTACCTTCCTGGTGTCCACTATATGTGTGCTTGTCTACAGCTGCATAGAGGGGATAAGGATTTTTCCCATTCTCACAAGCTCTCTTCTGATCAGATAATTTACTTTCATCAAGCTGAAAAGGAAAGGATTTATTCAATTTAGTTTAATTTGATCTTATTCTGTCAACCCAGGGATGGTTGAAGCCAAGGACAGGAATTTCAGGAGACCTGGGGGGCATTTTTGGCCCTGGACATCCCACCCACAGCCTGCCAGTCATGTAAAACATGAGGAAAGTCATCATCATCATTATTCAATGGTATTTGAAGCTGCTACATAAAGCCCAAGAGGTACACATTGATTTGTTGTTGTTGCTAGTTGTGAAGTCATGTCCGACCCTTCACAACCTCATGGACAACACTCCTCCAGGCCTTCCTAACCTCCACCATCCCCCAGAGTCCACTTAAGCTCATGTCGACTGCTTCAGTGACTCCATCTAGCCACCTCATCCTCTGCCATCCCCTTCTTCTTTTGCCATCAATTGATCCCAACATTAGGGTCTTCTCCAGTTACTCCTTCCTTGTCATTAGGTGGCCAAAGTATTTGAGTTTCATTTTCAATATCTGTCCTTCTAAAGAGCAGTCAGTGTTGATCTCCTCTAAGACTGACTGGTTTGATCTCCTTGTGGTCCAAGGAACTTGCAGGAGTCTCCCCCAGCACCACAATCCAAAGGCCTCAATTCTTCAGCGCTCAGCCTTCCTTATGGTCCAGCTTTCACAGCCATACATTGCAACTGGGAAAACCATAGCCTTGACTATAAGAGGTTTTGTCAGCAGCGTGATGTCTCTGCATTTTAGTATGCTGTCTAGAGTTGTCATAGCTCTCCTCTCAAGGAGAAAGTGTCTTTTATTTTCTTGGCTGCAATCCCCATTTGTGGTGATCTTGGAGCCCAGGAAAATAAAATCTGTCACTATTTCTGTTTGTTCCCCATCTATTTGCCAGGAAGTGACAGGACTGTTGCCATGATCTTAGTTTTCTTGATGCTGAGTTTCAAGCCAACTTTTGCGCTCTCCTCCTTCACCCGCATCAAGAGGCTCTTTAGTTCCTCTTCACATTAGCTCACAAACAGGCTAGTTTTAACATTTGAGGCATTCTAGAGCAGCTCCAGTTTCCATTTTCATAGAAGATAAAAGTTATTTTTGGGATGCCTTGCCAAATGTCTTACAGAAATGTCACTGGGAGCTTTAGAGGCCACAAATAATGACTGGGTAAAAGATGGCTACCTCATAACCAACATGATGGTCTACCTGTTCATCAGTGCCCTTCTCCCAGGCCTCAAGGTGCTTTAACACATTTAATTCCTAGGATAGAAACAAAATTGTTCTCCTTACTTTAGAACTTCTAAACTGGGTTTACAAGCGATGCATTAGAGATCATCATCAAACCTTGGGGGAAGATGTTACTGAATAGGTTGCTTCTAATAACTGGAAGCTTCCTTTAAATTTTTGCTGAGTTCTTGACTCAGTAGGATTTATCTTTAAAAAAACAATACCTACCTCCTTTAACATTTTGTAAACAATAAAATAGGACCAGAAATCAGTCAGAGAATAATTTTCTTCTCTTGCTGCTTCCAGGACAGCTTTTTTTGCCTTAATCAAATTCCACTGGCCTTGGACAAGTTTTTCACTCTGATTTTTTTCTAAGATCTCTATTTTATTTGCCCAGTCTTCAGTTTTATAGATGGATGACATGCACCTGTTAGTGAAATAGGGCAAGTAAGTGTGTAATACAGCAAAGTGTTTGGAAGTGTGTAATGCAGCAATGGATTTCAGCTACAATCCTTCAGAGGATATATTTTGACTGGAAAATATGTATATTCAGATCTGAAATAAATGGTACTGATGTGGATATGGCTATCTTAAAGGAGCTTTACTGAATCATAAAAGTTGAAATCTAACCTGCTGACAATGAAAATTCCAAGTCTATAATGCTGATAAGTATATAAACAGTTGTAACACATAAGGTTGTACTTCCTTATAGCCTGATGTGGCTGGTCCTACATTATCTTGGAAGCTAAGCAGAGTCAGACCTGATTGAAATCTGGATGGGTTCCTCGAATCCTGCACTGAGCAGGCAGTTGGATCTGATGGCCTTTTTCTTTTTGTTCTTTTTAGGCTGGACATGCACATGGTAGGCATGTCATGCGTGGAGTGGGCTGGAGCTGGGGGTCAGACTAAATGGCCCAGGAGGTCCCTTCTGATTCACTCTGTTTCTATGTTTCTTTCCTAGGAAAAGTCACACTGCCACTTAATTTATAACTTAGTGCTACCTAAAGGCTGAGGATCTGACTCAGCAGTGAACACAACATACATCATCACTCCTCTTTCTCATCCAGTAACTCCTGAAGCAGCCTCAGTGTCTTTACCATGAGTTGTCACACCTCATGTTCTACACAAGCAGAGCCCATTCTGCCCAGGCTGTGGAGGCCACATTTAAGGCCAAAAGCACAGTCACGTCCTCCATGCACTGGGTAAACAGGTGAACTGGAACAAGAGAATAAGAACATTGTGGTATAATGACAGGCTTGGAATATGGCCATGTCATGGAGGTTATTATACTTAAATGGCTTTCTTCTTGGAAGAACCCTAAGGCAGCTGACAAGGTTCTCCACACTCTGCGTCTTTCTCTGTCCATGTGGTTGATTCATATGACAAACATTATCAGGGAAGTGATGCCAACACCACAACTCTTTCTGTGCAGAGGATGGCTTTGGTATACCAAACACTATCCCTATTGCATAGGAAACTGATCCGCACCATGACTTGGGATCAGAAGCAGAATCCAACTTGTTGCATTTTCAAATATTTTTTTCTGATGCTTGGATCATAGAGGAATACACTGTGTTCTGGGACAAAACTCCACTAAATGTAATGTTTGCATTAAAGGAAGGGTTTTGAAACTTGGGACCATGGGCCAAGTCAGGCTTAGCTAGGCTTCCCAGAAGTCCATGCCCCTATTCCCTCCCTCTACCTCTTTCTCTGACGATGTGTTCTTTGTGCATTATTGCAATTCTAAAAGCTAGAAATGCCTCTCCTGAAGCTTAGTTACCTGCAATAAGTGTTTTAAGCTAAAATATGCTCATATTTGACCTCACTGCTTTGGCCAATGGACTTACCCACCCCTGGAATGCAGGCTTGGGAGCATCTCCAAATCCAACTTTTTTGCCTAAAGGAGATGTGATGATGCAGATAAGCTTCTTCACCTGACCCTTTGAGCCTATTTACAGTTCTAGCTGATTGCTAAACCTGCTGCTATGGACTGAACCAGGTCATGCTGAAGACCAGGGATACGTGACAAAAATGATTAGTGGCACATTGGCTTTTAACAGTGGTTTTCAGCATATTGAGGTGCTATTCACACTGAACAGTTCACATGTACTTACCAGGTGGAACCTGACACTCCAAGCAGGTACATAACACAGTCCAAGAGGTTACATTTCTTCAGCTCCACTAGGGTGCCATAAAGGGCAATCATGGCCCGCAGACCTCCTCCTGAACCCAGAACAGCAATATTGGGGACTTTATCCTGATGGAAGAAAAGAGGACATAGTGAGGAATCCCTGCTCACCAATGGTTATCAAGTGTTGAATCTTCTTTAAGGCAAACATGCAGCAGTTAAGATTACTATCCATATCCACAATTCACAATGTTATTTCATTATACCTAGAAGCAGATCTCAGATAATGTATAGAATTCAAGTGTATACAAAAGTTTATGATAGATTAAAGCCCATCGTTCTGACACAGCTCTGAAGACATGCGTACAATTACTTGTGCAACTGTTATGTATGATGCAAAATCTTTCCTGTGGAAAAGCTCATAGAGACTTCTATCACTGGATTGCCCTGGACTCTCAGCTCCAGGGGAAGTTGAAGTTCAGTGGTAGATCACATGCTTTGCATACAAATAACCAGAGGTTTGGTCCACAGCATCTTCAGATAGGGTTGGGAAGGAGAACTGTCTAAAATTTTGGAGAGTTGCTTCCAGTCAATGGTAAAGCACATATTTGCATGCAAAAGGTACAACATTCAGTAGGACTGGAAGAGACTCCTGTCAGAAACCCCACATTGACTGCCAGTCAATGTGGACGATGGGCAAAACATTTGACCTGATACATGGCAGCTGGCTATGTTCCTGTGAACATCTGCACAGGTCTAATTTCCCTGGAATAAGAAATTCCTTCTAAGAAATAAACACAAACACAGACCAAATCTTTGTATGGCAAAGCTTGGGCTTGTGGAACTTTTGAATTCTGTTTATAGCAGACACATAAATGAAATCCTTACTGCATCACACTGAATCCCAAGCTTGGCAAGACCTCTCTTCACCTCTTCCTTTCGAGAAGCAGTAGCTGATTGCTCATGTTTTGAGAGGGTTTTCAAGACATTGACTTCTGTTTTTACCTGTTAAAAACACACATCAAAGTAATATGAGGAAACTATTTATCTCATACTAGAAACTCAGAGAGCAGGGCACTTGATAACATGCTGTGAACTTCATCCAAATATGTGATCTTGGGAAAGTTCATTTGTTTCATTTTTATGCTGTCTAATTGCTTTAGCTTTCTGGCCCCAGAGAGAAGATGCATATCACCTTACAAGATAAAGAAAGCATAATATAAAATAGCTAATCTACAATGTAACAATCTCAATAGCTAAAACATGAACAATAAGATACTAGATCTGATGGAAACAGCTGATATAAATGCCCCAACAAATGTTATCAAATGCCTAGGAATAGAGGGATGTGTTAATCTGGCATTGAAAAGATAATACTATTAACTCCTTTGCAGACCCCAGTAAGAAGAGTATCTCATAATTGGGAGATATCACTGAGAAGGCCTTCTCCCTTATTCCCAGTGCTTGAGTCTCCTTCAGAGGAAGACATTTGCTGCTGACTGTGGTGTCCAGGTAAGTCCAATTTCTTCAGCAAAGGTTGTTTCCCAGGTCTATATGGTGAGCTCTTTCATACTGCACTGAGTTGACTCAGAGAAGTGAACTGCTCATATGTGAAAAAGGGAAAGGGAGCATGGAGGGCTTTTAGATAATTCCAAATTATGGCTTGGAATTTTCCCTGAATTTTCACTGTTCGAATATCAGAAATCTGAGCTGTCTTTATCAAAACTATAGCTGAGCCAAATTCTTTGGCCAAGATTTTTTTCAAGAGTTCATTGAGAGTGGAGTGAAATAAATGTACCACTGAAAACTGAACAAGCAGGACCTTTCCAATGAAATCTTCTGGGATGAGCCTGGTGTGAGTTAACCCTAAAGGTTTCAATCTCCCTTCCATTATTTTTTTAAAGCTTCACATCCACTTATACCATGACATACCCATGGGAGCATAATTCTATGGGCATTCTATGAAATGTTGTTAGTCCAAGAAGCTATGAAGAGATTCTTGCTACTGTGAATGGACATTAGGATTCCTTGAACATTTTTAAAGAAATTATGTTTGGCCATTATATGATAGTTGTGATAAACCACCAGCACCCCTTGAAAATGTTGGGGAAAATCTGCCAAAACCCAAAAGGAGCAGGAAAATTCCCTCCAGACTTTATATGAATAGATAAACAAACCTGAGAAACCTGAGAAAACATGGAGCTGCCAGCACCAATGGCATGAGAGGCACAGGTGATAGAAACTAAGCTAGGTCATTCCTGGACCTAAGCCAGACTCCATAAGCTGGGAACTGCTGCAAAAGAGCCAACATGCTTCAAGGAACCAGCTACCTGCCCACTAGGAAATTGCGCCCCATCAAAGCCACAATGAGTCTTGAGAGACATGACAGAAAGTAGAAAGATACATAGATGCCTGATCTTCCCTGCATTCCATCCAACCCACAGCAAAGTGGCAAAGGGGAAGGGGTGATGTCACCTTAGAACACAGAAGCCCCGAGTCCATCAAGACTTCGTTAGAGAAAGTTGCTTACAAGGAGATGTTCTAGGTGACTCCTCACCCTGAGGGATTGTCAGCAAGACCAGGTCAGGAAAGGACAAAAGATTCACCCATCTTTTGTCACAGGTCTACTTTGCATTGTGGAACATTTGATTTAGTTTTGTTAGATGGCAATAGACTTTGCTGTTGAGAGGGAGAAATGATACAAACTGAAATAAGTTACCTTTCCAGTCAAAAAGGTGTTCATTATTGTATTCCTTTCCAGATACTTCACCAGATTCAAACTCAGAATGAGGAAGCAATAGCAGGGAGTCTAGAAGATGTTTAGAATTCTTGTGTAGTCACTTTTTCACTGGTTCCAGAGCAATGGAGTCTAGTTCTGTGACACAAGCAAGCAGATGCAATTAATTCATTGGCCAGTACTGGCTGTCACAAGAGAACAGGAAGGAACTTGCTATTGAGCCATTAGGTACTGTCAACATGTGGCTGTTTACATTCCTTCTGGCGTTTGAACCTAATGGTGACATGGCTTGATGCATTGTTCAAAAACTTCATCTTCCAGCTTTGCTTCAGGTGGAACAAAATAAAAATGCTATCTGATGGACAGTCAGAGGTTTGTGGTAATAAGGGCATTTGAGAAAAGTCTTAGCCCAAACAGTTTCTCACTACCGTGAAAGCTCTACCCCAGACTGTATAAAATAATGTAAAATGTTCAAGCAACATGCAAAATGCCTTTATTTTCTCAGTTCTAGGATTTAACGCAGAATATATAACATAACAACATAACATTCGTTTAAAACATGGCAGGGTGTGGTTTCTATATTTCCATGGAACGAAGTGCAAGTTCAGAAAGATTTGAATACTAGACTCTTAATTTTTAAAGCATGCCCTTTTTTGCATAAAGGCTCTAAATTAAGCTTTGGTGGACATCTAGATAATTAGACAGAAGTAGTTGGCAAGTGGTGGAGGAGAGGAGGAAGGGATGAAACTTACCCACCCAGTGATGGGCCACAGCTGCCTTCAGCTCTCTGCCGAGAATGGTGCTGCTAGTTTCTCCTGGAGGAGCAAAAACCAAGAAGCTTTGAAACTGGGTGAAGACTTATCAGTGGGCAAGGCACAGATAACAGCTGTCATCACAAGGCAATCATATGCATGCTAAGGCAGGCAGGCATGAACTCTTGGAAAACGTTGGTGCCAAACAGATAAACTGCTGGAACATTGCTGGAATTGGCATAAGCCTGTTGTGAGTGCTTGTGTGTGGGTGGGTTTTATTGCCCCACCTAAGTATGGCATTCCTGAAGGAGGTGGGTCTCATTTGCCATGCATAATCAAGAAGCAGAGGATGCAATATAAACAGAGATGGAGGACAATTTTATCTCATTTGTTTTTGATAAAAGCTTAGCAAAGTTCACAAACATAAGCTGGGGGATTCTGATCTTCCAAGGCAGGGCAAGAGGATGTGGCAGAGGCAATCTTTGCTTCTCCATCCTCCCATTCTACATATTTCAGTAAATTAGCTTTTTAGTCCATCCAGTGGGGGTACTTCAAAAGAAGAGGGAAGGAGGCTGGTAAAGTTTTGCGACTGGTCATATTCTTGCCTCTCTGCTTTCCTCCCTCTCCAAGATCAATTCTCTGACCTTAGAAACCAGCCAACGTGACTGTGGACATGCCAGCTGCCAAGGGGTGTGTGGAAGGGGGCAAATCTCTGACCCCTCTTCTGAAGTCACAGTTCTTTCTCCAGCCCTGGTGAAGAATCCCCAGCATCCTATGACCCCTCAGGTTTTCTCCTTAAATTCTTCATAGTCAAGTTGAAAAAGAAGGTAAGATTAAAAAAAAAAAAAAAACCTCAAGCATGGAAGCCAATTAAATGGGTCGATGTCATCATTCAGACCCAAAGCTTTGACTGCTTTGCTCTTAAAAGTCTGGGTTTGAATCCCTGGATATTCAATCACCCTTAACAGCTAAATGGAAAGCAAGTAGACCATGGTCCTCTCCAAGAAGAAAATAGATGAGCCTATTGAATTTGAGACTTCAGATGCTGCAAACTACTGCAGAATAGTGGGCGGGCAAGAAGAATCAGGAGGACTGCTGGGAGGAGACCCTTTTTAACTTGACTCGCAGAGGGTCTCCGGTTTGGTTTACCATCCATTGTTCCGAGAGGACCGGCGAGGCAGGCTTTATGTGTGTCACGTGGAACCAGTGGGGTTTTTCGGCCAGTCTTACCGCCGTGGGAGTGGAGAGGATCACCTGGAAGGGTCCTAGCCACTGGGCACCTGGTTAAAGCTCCTTCACCAGCAACAATAGTCAGATCCCAGTTGGGTCTTTGGGCTGGGAGGCTCGTTTCCAGAATAACCGGGTCAGTGGTGGGTTGGCCATCTGTGCCAAGAACCTGCTTCCAAGCCTCAAGGTGAATCCGATCGCACTCCTCGAAAGTAAAAAGAACTTGCAGGAGTTGCTGGCAGTCATCCCAAGTAGGACGATGGGTGTGTAATCCATAACAGTCAGCATCCACATGCAGTCACCCATCCAGCTGCAGACCGAAGCCCTTCCAGCTTAGCAAGGCTGCCATCTCATGCTAGCTTCTGCTCAGCTATAAATTGAGCTTGGAGGCATGGGTGTGAAAAACCGTTTCTAGTAACGAAATCAAGCCTTGTGGTTTTTTAGAGAAGGGGGGGGGGGTTCTGCTGTTTCCAGTTATAAATCAATCCAACCAATGCAAAAATGCACACAAAATAAATCCTTTGTTGAACTGGTGTTGCACGAACCTGTTGCTTGCCTAGGCTAAAGAGAAATGTGCTTTCTTCTGGACAATGAGAACAGTTCTACACAATTTCTTATTGCAGAGATGATACTCTCCCACATAGATGCAAAATGCACCAACCCATTGTTAGCACAAACAAGCCTGAACTAACACACATTTCATCTAACAATCAATGCTTGCGCATTTAGATGAACATCCTTGGGCATCCTTGGGCTGGCAGATGGGCTCAGTCCCCAACAAACATTAGGCTACTGTAAGGGAAAAATTTTTTTTAGCACCATCAATACCAGTAACAACAGTAACAGCAATATCACTATCATTAATATTTGGTAACATTGCAAAAGGAAAAAGGAAACAAAACTTTCTGTTGAACACCAAAGGGAAAAGTAGCCTCATAGATTTGAAAAGAAACTCTTCCCACCTCCACCATCCACAGAAAACCTCCCCCCATTCTACATACAAGGATGATAAAGCAGAAAAGACTAGCATATAAGATTCCTTTTAAATTAGAGGTAGTAAACTATGCTAAGGAACATGGAAACAGAGCAGCGGAGACACATTTTGGGCCACCTCCAACTGAAAAAATGATAAGAGAGTGGAGGATACAGGAGGATCAGCTGCAAAAAGTGAATAAAAGTAAGCACACTTTTCATGGAAATTCTGCAAAGTGGCCACAGTTAGAGGTGGCCATGAAAGAATGGATCACACATCACCAGAATAATGGCTTCTCAGTCTCTACAAAAATGCTAATACATGAAGCCAAACAGATTGCTGTAGAGAAAGGCATTCACGATTTTACTGGATCACCATCGTGGTGCTACAGATTTATGAGGCGATGTGGCCTTGCTATGCGCACCAAAACTAGAATTGCGCAAAAAATGCCAAAAGAAACTCTTCCCACTGCATGTGCATGCATGCACACACATACACAGCCCCAGAGTTTCATCCATTCCCTCCCAATCCTTCAGTTGTAACATAGCAAAATAACAAAATGGTATACTCAGAATTCAGAACTTATACCCACACACATATATAAGACCCAGATCCATGTTGCATAGAAAAATAGAAGTTATTGGAGAGGGAAAACTCTTGATGGCTGACACAAATCACATGCTCACAACATTGCTTTTTGGAAGGATTCCCTTCCTAAAAAATCCCCTAGTGACTCATTGAGAGTGCTTGAGGGTCTTTGTTTTAACCCAACCCTTCCCAGGCAGAATTTTTCCTGAGGCAATACAAGCTTTGAACACTCAGAGGACCTC